CAGTTGTTAATTATTCTAAACTCAAGTACATGGTTTTCTAAGTTGGATTTTATAGAGATAATAGAGGAGGAACATTTTTTTACAACTTGAATAAAATTCCCTTGTAACCCAATCAAGAGCATGTCTTAGAGAACAGCTAATGTAAAGTAAAATTTGTTTTTCATACACAAAGAAAAGTAAGCCAAGGTTAAAGAAATATATTATACACAAGTTATTTTTTTCTTATATTTTGCTAACATAACTAATTTGTATGTAAAAATATTGAAAAATCCTTTAACATAGATAATTGAGTTACCTTTGAATTGTATAATAGGTCAATTGACTAGTATTTACATTTAACACTAGTGAATCTAAATATAAACTGCTGTACACACATTTAGTATGTTAGCATACTACTACCTAACTACATTTAACTATAGCGTGCTCAATTTAATATTATAAGTATTTTCTTTATTTTTTTAAAATAAGCTATTTCTTTAGAGTATAATTTTAAGTCATAAAGTTCTTTCAGTAAAAGGACACATTTAAACAATTTAAATAAAATTAGTAGATACCTATAATTTATTTACTGATAAGTAATTATTATAAGAGAATTTTTTTTTAATGTAGATCCTGAGTTCAAATATGGCAAAATCTAAGACTAGAACTGGCAAAAATACAGCCAATAACAAAGCAAAAATACCAAAAAAGAACTGTAAAAATATGTCAAAGACTAAACCAGAATTAATTACAAAACAAGTTTGTAAAAATAGTGAAACAAATAATGATATTATACTTCAGTTGATGACAAAATATACTGAGCTAAACCAAACATTTGAATATATTTTATATTCTAACAAGTATAAACATACATTAACTGATGTTTTTAATATTATAAAAATGCTATTTTCCAAGTTGGAAGAATTGCAAAAACATGATGTTGACCTTAAAAATATTTTTGAAAATATTAATCTAAATAATAAAATTAAAGGTTTAATCCAAAGTACTGCAATTAATTTATCTCATGTAGTAGAACAATTAGATGTAAATGAATCTACATTCTTAAATTTTGCACGTAATTTTAGACCACTGACTACTAACACTGACAATCAAGAAGTTACAGATAGTCTAGTATCTAGTTGTGCTAGTATACCTATAGTATCAGAAAACCTTATAGTATCAGAAGACCCTATAGTATCAGAATACCCTATGGTTTCAAGTTCACAATCATGTAGTAATAATTGTTTAAATCAAAAAATAAAAATTGAAAATATAAGTGACCAACTCGTTACAAACATATTTGGTGGACAATACACTATAGTATTATCATCAGATGATGAGTATGAAGAATTAAATGATAATAATAGCTGCAAGAAACAGTATTCAACAAAAAGTAAACCTATCAAAAGTGAAGACTTAGTAAGTTATGTAATGGGATCAGACATAAAAGATATGTTTGACCATGATAGTTCTAGCCATGATGTAGTTTCACCATCTAGACAAAGTCAAGATATTATTATTCCAAAATCAAAATCGCAACATAGAACACCTGTACCAAAAATTAGGAAGGTTAAGCCAAAGGTGTCTAATGAAGCTGTAGATGAAGCAAGAAAAGCTGACTTTAATTTAAGAAAACGACAGATTGATCGAATGAAAGTAGTGTCGAATATAGTTAAAGAATTACATTTAAAGCCACATGATATAGTGTTAGAATTTGATACTGTTAAAAAAATACCATTAGTAAAAATTTCTAAAGAATTAGCTAAAGTCTTAAAAGTACATCAGGTAGAAGGTATTCATTTTTTATGGAATACAGTTTTTGAAACTGTGGAAAAAATAAATAACACTGAAGGAACAGGGTGTGTTTTAGCCCACCGAATGGGCATTGGTAAAACATTGCAAATTATAACTATAATATATACTATATTATGCCATACCCAAATCAATATAAAAACATTTTTAATCATATGTCCACCTGGATTGATTTATAATTGGATGGATGAAATATATAAATGGTTAAAAGATATTGACGTAGATGAAGTTGTTAAAGTTTATGATTTGCCTAAGACTCAGAAACTATACAATATAACAAACATAGCAACATGGAAATCTAAAGGAGGTATTCTTATTCTTAGTTATGAAAACTTTAAGAGTTTGGTTAATTGTAAACAAAGTGATTTACAAGAAGCATTCTATCACACTTTAGTTGATCCAGGGCCAGATGTTGTTATTCTGGATGAAGGACACTATATTAAAAACACCCAAACTATACTATTAAAAAGTTTAACTCAAATTAGAACAAAAAGAAGAATAGTACTAACAGGAACTCCTATGCAAAATTCTCTTAAAGAATATCATACATTGGTAGAGTTTGTTAAACCTAACATACTCGGAAATCTTACAGATTTTGTAACAACATTTATCAAACCAATTGATGCTGGCCAATTTATAGACTCACATGATGAAGATGTTAAAATAATGAAGCAACGTACATTCATTTTACATAAACTTTTACAAAATACTGTCCATCGCATTGATGATAAAAATCTAAAACCTTTATTTACAAACAAAATAGAATATACAATAGAGGTTAATTTGACCAAATTCCAATGTGAACTATATGAGAAGTTCTTACATTATAACAAAGCATCTAATGATGGTTATAATGTATTTTTATGTTTACATGTGTTAACATTAATAACATTACATCCATTAACATTATACCGATTGAAACATTTTAAAAATAGCAAACAACGTGAATTAGGGACTTCAGTTGATGAAAAATTATCAAAGGACTTGTCATGGATTGATAGTTATGGAGAAGATCCAAGATTTTTTGAAGCTAAACAAAGCAATAAAATCACGTATGTTTTAAATACAATTCATGAATGTTCCAAAAGAAATGAAAAGGTACTTTGTTTTTTAAAATCACCATTAGCTTTGGATGCCTTAGAACATTTTTTACAACAAGAGAAAAAATGGATTTTAGGAGAAGATTATCTTAGAATGGATGGTAAAACACCATTATCTATACGAAATCAAATGTGTGAAGCTTTTAATAACCCCGAAAATACTGCTAAAGTTTTTCTTTTATCCATGGGTACTGGTGTTCTTGGATATAATATGGTTGGTGCTAATAGAGTATTGTTACTCAGTACATCGTGGAATCCAAGTAATGATTTACAAGCCATTTATAGATGTTTACGATTTGGCCAGAAAAAAACGGTTTTTGTTAACAGATTGTTAGCTAAAGGAACTGTAGAACCAAAAGCATATTATCGACAAATTTCTAAATTAGGAATGGCTAGCAGTGTTGTAGATTTACAACATATGAGTCGAAAAGTATCATATGAACAAACTAACGACTTATTTACATTTGATTCGACAAAACATTTTAATCAACTACTTCCTAATACAAAAGATCCTGTACTTAACCAACTCATCAGATACAATTTGGAATCAATTAGTGATTTTAAAGAACATGATTCCATGCTCGTTGAGTCCGTGGAAGAACAATTAACCATTGAAGAACGTAGAGCTCTTTGGTTATCATTTAAGAACAAGCAATTGCCAACTAAAAGTTTGATTAAACCAAAACCGCTTACAAAGTTACTAAATACGGATGAGCTTATAGAAAAATATAAAACAAATAAAAAAATAGGTGAGTCTTCTGGCTCTACAATAAACATCCAACCTAAAGAGCCACAAGCTGTAATACATTCTAATGAAAGTCATAGTTCTAGAATGCATACACATATCAACAGTACCAAGCAATCACAAACACCCATATCTAAAAGAAAACATTCAACATTAACAAGTACTACAGAAACAGTAAACAATCCAACACTTTCAAACTCTCAATTAAAAATTCCAAAATTGTTTGAAAAATCTGACCGCCATAGACATGTTGAACCCATACAAAATCAGTTCAGAAGTTTTCAACAGAAAACTTTTAATCACCATAAGAGGCACCTGGCATCACATTATCGTGCTCCTCTTTCAAATACATTAGCAGATAGACATCGACCCGACAACTTTAGACACCAATCATATAGTATAAACAAAACATGGTATCCTAATAATCAAACATCTACTGAAAATAATATTTTAAACCGATCTGGTATGTCAAGATGAATAAGTCTAATAATTTCTTTGGATTAAATAAATTATTATCCTATAAAAGTAATTATGTTGTAAAAATGTAATACCAATACTTATAATGATAAGTTTTGCATACAAATACTAGAAACATTTTTTATGTTTAATATTTTTAGATTTCTAGTATTTTCCCAAGTTTAAATTTAAATTATTAATATGTACTTGTACTACCATCTTTATAATTTTATGAATATTTCAATTATTTATTTAAAATAATAAATAATTACTAAATTATATTTTCTATGTAAAATTAATTGTATTATTTTCATAAAAAAATATAAAATTGTATTAAAGTGTATTTTTTGATACTACATAAATCATATACTGAAATGATAGGACACAATTATCTTTGTTCATTGAAAATTAACTGTAAGACATTAATATTGCTATGCATGATGTGACAAATAATTTATAATATAATATACTGTTTACATTACCTATTCATTGTTTAATATTATTATTATCGTTTAATAAAAGAAAAATATGTATCCTAGTTTTTCCTTATTTTTATTTTAAATTAAAAGTACTGTTTGAAAAAATCAAAATATGTTAATACATTATAGAAATAAATGAACTAATTTGTTTAATTATTTTGTGTTTTCGTTCTAAATTGTATTTTACTATAATAATTTTCAGGGACACTGGTTTCAGAAAAGACCTTTCATCAGACAAAATCACAAGGAGAGAAATTATGCGTAATGCATTAGTTGTGGAAGAAGATTATTTTGTTGCTCCCACAAATCAAGTCTAATAAAACTTATAATTTTGTAGATACAGTTATTCATCAAACTCGTAGTTATATTTTTAATTAAACTATCTTTATTTATTTTGTTAAATTACTTATTCAATTTTAAGAGTATAAAATGAGCTTGTTAAACAGAATATTACCCATGTGCAAAGCTTATGCATATATGGAACCTATGATCATCAATGGTACTATTGACCATTTAAAATATGGAGCGACAGGTGAACTGTTATGTCAAAATATCAGAAATGAATGGTTATATAGCAATGTGACTAGTAGAGATGAAAGTGTATTTCAATTTTGTAACGTCGGGGAAAAATACTTCAACGATATTTTAAGTAAGATGAATGTATTTCACTAACCTATATTTAATTGTTAAAATAATTTATCTTTCTAGATAGAAAAATTATAACCATTTAATATTTTATCTAACAGTAACATTTTATTATTATTATTATTTCATTGGTTTTATCCAAGGTCTTAAAGATCCAATTATGAATGCTAAACAGTTTTCCAATAACCAACTACCATTCAGTTTTGCTGATTCTAGAAGTCTCTGTGAACAACCAGATTTAATGGATTCTGGAGTCGGAGATAGAAAATGTTTTAGGTAATATATAAAATATCTAAGCAGTTAGAATACATGTTGAGAAAAATAAAAAAAACTTAATAATTTCATATTTAAATCAGAAATATGATTTCCAGTATAGGGCATAGGTATAGGAATTATTGTCTGAGGTATTGCCTGGCGTCTACCATTGTTACACGATCATCTGATAACATGGCACAACAACGATAACTCTCGAATATGCAAAATGTATAGTTTTCACTTTTTTAGATAATATGTTATTTATAATTGTTATAGAACATTTTAAAACTGATAGGAATGATATTATTAATTTATCACAGAAAACACTGCCATAGTTGTGCCAAGTCATCTGAAGCTATAATAATTATCTTAATAACACTATATTACCTATTGGTTTCAAAATCGGAGGTTCCATGGTCTATTAATTAATAGGTGTTTTCTGAAGTTGGGAAAAATTTTAAAATTTAAAATAATATGATGAGAAGGCACATCCTATAGACTTCAGGAGTCATTAAAGACCAGATTAACAGTGGACAATTTTAGGTGTGGCAAGTTATAATCAGGCACGGTGCCAAGATGGGGCTCTAGCCCCCCTCCACCCCCACTGAAAAATATGTATGATAGAATTAAGTTATAAAACATTATTTTTAAAAGAGCTTTATCAAAGAATTTATGAAATATACTTTTTAAAAAATTTAATTTACTTTCGTATTTTCGAAGATTAGTGTTGAAAGTTTTTGCCGTTGTAAAAACTGATATAATAATATTAAGCTTATTTAATATATCTGTCACTACTAAAGAAATTGAGGAATAAATTGAATTTTATTTGTATAAAAGGAAAAAAATTTACTTAAATTTCAATAAAATATGTTTTGAAATTTGTAAAATAAAAATAAATATTTTATTTATTTCTTATTACCTTTATTGAGTACTAATTACTGGATGAAAATAAACAAAGGTATCCCAAATCATTGCATTAAAGATGATTCAAACACATTCATCTGTTCATAACTAGACACAATTACTTTAGTTTATGTTTATGAAATGTAGGTAAGTAAAAGAAACATAAATATTAATTTACAAAGGTATGCAATATTAAAGTCATAAAGAAATTATCATTTTTGTACATCATTATTCATTATTAATATAGTTGTTGAAGGTCTGTAACTAAAAATTTGCTTACATAAGGTGCATAAAAAATATTTGACATTATTCTTAAAACATTTTTAACTATTCAAAAGTTTGTACATATTGTCTGTTTAGACTTTTAGAGCATACATTATAAAAACTTGTGTACTGTATAGTTAATGTTATATTATATGATACAAAAATATTTATATTTTATTTAAATAACCTCAATATTTGTTGAAAAAACCTAAGCCCATGTAAAAAAAACATTTGTCCCAATCTGCCCCCACCCCTGGAAAAAAATTCTAGTGCCGTGACTGGATATAATCACCACATATATGAGATGAATATGAGTTAAAAGATGAGTTAATCTGTTATATGGAGGCTGTGTATGCCTTGAAGACAGGGTATACTATGATCTATGCTGGGATGCCAGTTTTAAAATGGTTTTGATTATGTCAGTAAAATTATAGAAAGGGTGTGTGTGTTTCCTACAGTTCCAAGAATAATGAAAACTCAAGAGCACGGAGTTAATAAATTATTTATTTTAATTGTTGTTGCACTTACAACAAGGTTTCTTTTATTTTTTACCATATTTAAACAATTTCCTTTAATAAAAGGTTTAAGTAAAATTCAAATATTTTAACTTGACCGTTTATTGCTTGGTACCTTCTAATTTAAACCATATAGTATGTATTTACAATAGTGTACATTTTATAATCTCTAAACAGTGTAATAATTTTTATCACAGTTTTTTTGGTGATTTAAATAAAATTGCATATACATCAATATTAAAAGAAGAATTTAAGCTATGGAAAATGAAACGGAAATAGGAAACACAGCTCTAACTAAACAACTTTATGCATTTATGTTTCCCTGGAGATATTATTCCTAACATATCAAAGCATTTTATCTATTATAAAAAGGGTTTTTAAGTACAACAAAAATACACATTGTAAAATCAATACATTCTTCGTTCCATTCAGAATTTAAAATAAAAGAAATAAACAGTATTTGTATACAAAATATTAATTAATTCCTATCATGGTTATTCCTAATAATACTTAAAATTTTATATATTATTATTGTATAGGTACCTATATTTCTAAGTATTATCAATATTATGTGCCTACTTTTTTTTCCCAATGTAGCCCTAAGAACTTTACAAGGTTTAAGTATTTTGCATTTTGTATACCAGAAGAAAGTCAACAATTTTTCTATCACTGGCAAAGGCAACGCAAAATTTGGTGGAGAAAAGTAACAATAATAAATTAAAACATTATTTAAGACTTATAAATTATGTTTTAATATTGTATATTATTTATATTTCGTAGTTCTCGGCCAATCCTGGTAGATTTTCATTGACGGAAATATCGATTGATGATAATGGGCAAGAGAGCACGGAAATCCGTGCTGAATTTGAATGGGGCCAGGAGACAATTGAAACCATACGTAACGTAAACACTAAAATGTTTGACAGTCTAGAGCCAGCAGAACAAGAAATGTTTTTTGTAAGTAGTAAATACCCAAATTATTCCTATATTATTGTGCGAGACTGCAGTCGATAATTACAATATTAATAATTAATAATTAATCTTGTTTGTTTCAATTAAATAGTCAAGGGTAGGAAAAAGAAAAGTCTTGCCTCACGTGGTGGAAAGTGAAACTAGTCTCGAGAAAGCGTGTATGGTGTTTCTGTGTGATGGATATACAGAATTACCTTATCATAATGATCGCAGGGAAGTGTTCCGGTTCCATCGCAAATTGGCTCCATATAAAATAACATTCGCGGCTCCACTATTAAGTTAGTTAGATTAGAAGAGTGTGGTGATTTTTAATTTATTTTTAACAGATTGATTTTAACAATTTGTAGATGCCAAAAGAGCTGACGAACTGAGGCAACTTTCCATATACTTGGGACTAAATTTAAAAAAATCTGGGATATCAACATTAATAACTCCACACCTGGCAAAAAAATCTCTCGAATCACAGTTCACAGATTCAGACTGTCTTGGCATACCTTATATAGCTGTACTCAACGAGTCTACTTTAGATGATGGTATTTTAGGACTTCGTAGTATTGAAACTACTCTTGAGGTAGGACCAGTTATTTATATATAATATTATATTTAGAAACATTTTTTTTTATTAATTTAAGACATTTTCTTGTATTATTAAGACATATTTTGTACACGCTTAATTCGTACATTGGTTTTTGGGTTTATAAGCAAAGCTTGATTGGAACACTTGTATTTTTTGGCAGTGCCTCCGAGCTATATTCCATACAACCAGATAACCCCTCAACAATTAAATATTTAGATTAATATCAACTTTTTTCACTAATATTGTTTTAATTAACATTTATAAAAATTGTGAATTATCTTTGAAATATTTGTATCTTTTCAATATCGTCTAGTTGATAAAAAAAAAAAAAGTATTAATCTTTTATCATTTCAATTTGTATGAACATTATATTCAATGTATTTTTAAATAAAAATTATTTAAAAATTGTTCCATTTACTATGATTGTTAACAAAAACATACATAATTTACCAACACTGTTAGTTACACTTAGTGTCATTTTTATCGCATGGTAATTGTATTCAATATCTGTTTGAGTAAATACAATTTTAGAATTTGTCCATTATGTTAATTAAAGTGTGTTTCGTTAAAAAAATATGAGGAATCGATCTTATAGTTTTTAAACTTTTGATATGTGTCCATTATGCATTTATTTTATTATCCACCGGCACCCCACACCATAACGACACATAAAAAACCCCTAATGGAATAATGAAGTTATTTATTTTTATATAATTAATCCAACTTAAAAATTGTTATAAGTGCATGGAATACCATAAAACTTTTAAATATTTAATTACATTACCTATTTTATTCTTATATTTTTTATAGGAAAAAATCCACGTGGCCAATTTGACTTCTTACGTTGAACTTCTCATAAAGAATTACTGATTATGTTACTACCACTATAAACTATAAATTAATCATTTGAAATTTGTTAAAAAAACATTATTTGTATTAATTTGTATATTATTATACATATTAATAACAAAATATTGTAATGATTTAATATTAAGCAGTTTTAAATGTAATACAAAAATATGATTTTATATTTGTTAAAAATAACAAAATTTTCATCTACTAAGTACACTTAGAATTACATACTTAAGACAAATTAGTTTTAAAATTTTTTGTTATGTAAATAAAGGAGTAATTTAACAACAAAAATGCACATTTTTTATTTTATTTGACAATCATACTGGAACTGGCAATTGTACAATTATTAACCATACATTAATATAAAATACTATACAATTTATAAATATGAGTATATTGTTAGAATAATTTAATTGTAAAGTAAAAATATACAAGCAGTATCAATAGTTTAAAATATTTTCATAACTCAACAACATAATTTATTTCCAGGATTACCTAAATAACCTATAAATATAAATTTTTTTTAAAACTTCACATGGCTGTCTTTAATAAATCAGCCATACTTCAAATATCCCATTTTACACAATGCCTGTACAATACTGCAATATAATATAGAGTTTCAGAGTATCCCACATTTTCCGTAACCACAGTATAAAGATTTGGAAATTTTGGAAATTAAACAATTAGTATTTAAAATATAATAAATTAGAGTCAGCTCTAATTTATTGTCTATAATTTTATATAATTGTTTTTCTTATGAAATATCAACTAAACCAAAAGGTAACATTTTTATTTAAAATTTAAATTGGTCTAAGGGTACTTTAAGCTGTAAAAATGTCAGTTATATTTACAATTTTTTATTACTAAGATGATTTAGAAAAATTTGAATCTAAATAGATATTTAAATTTTACATCATTAATTTGTATTTTGTATATTTTTATATTATGTAAATCCAAAAAAAAACCTAAAGGGAAAAATCCCCAAGTCCCAGGCCCTATAAAAAGGTCTACAAGACCATCAAAGTAGTGAGACCTAAACCGCGGCCAAGTATGCTCTTTTTTAGTCAATATTCAATAACTTTAATATACAAATATATACAATTATTTTTAATTGTATTCATTATCATTTGGGTAGTTTCTGATTTTGTCTCTTTGAACTTATCAATAACTGAAATAGATTTCAATCACCCACTGGTTATTTTTTCTTTGAAACTGGCCAATTGATAAACAATTAAGATATCTGTTCATGAATGTATTTTTATATTAAGGTTATTGGGTAAAGAAAGAGAACATACTTTTTCGCAATACAGGTCTCATTACTTTGATAGACAGACTTTTTGGGTCTAGGACTTGGTCCTCTCTTCACGGTTAGGTTTTTATTTGATATCATTTCCTATTTGCTGGCTTCTGTATAGTAGCTGACGTCTTCTTGGGTTTAATCATAATAATATGCAGTATCTGACCAGAATTGGCACTAATTTTGAAAAGATTACAATTTTTGGATTTTTCCCTTTATTTGCATTATAAAGCCTACCTTGTGCTAAATTTCACGTTTCTACCTATACGGGAGTCTGGAAGTATCTTATAATAATTTTGATGGTCAGTCAGTAACAAAAATTCAAACTTTTAAGTGTTTCCCTTTTGAAAACTTAATATTAAGGAATTGATTCATACAATGTCCTAAGCTCCTATAGCTTAATCTATGTTTCACACTTAAAAGTTTTTAATTCCATTTAAAGCAGAGATATTATGGTTGGAAAAACTGGCTGAAGACGTTCTTGTAAAGGTATACTGGTTTCCTGAAATTTGGCATGCTCAGATAATGCTCTTTGAGGTTTGAAGTTTTTAGTTTAAAAAAAAATGCTAACAGATAACAAATAAAAAAGATAAAAGACTGAACTTCTTAAATAATTGTACTAATTGACTAGTAATTGTAAAAAATTTAAGTTTACACTAGAAAATTCTAGTGTAATAAATATGAACACGAGTAAGTGTTGGAGAATGACATTTGGAAAAAATATTGCTTAGCTAAGATGTCTGCTAAAATACGGCTCAGACACAATACTTATGGCTTTTATAAGCATTCTTATACATGGTTATAATAATATACTAGATATAAAAAAGTATTAAAATAATTAAATATATATTCATTAGGTGCATTTTTAATACGATTACGATTTATCGCCAGTCAAATGCATTTGTCCTAAGTTAGTGAATTCGTGGATAGAAATAAAAATATAAATGTTTAATTTTATATTTAATACATCTTGATTTTACAGTATTTTTATCAGGTTACTGACTCACGATTTAAGATAGTATCTTAAATTGTGCCGACTACTGTCTACATAATGAAAATAACTCATGGTTCAAAATATTTTATTTTTATTTTTTGGGTTTCAGTTGTCCAATATCTTATACCCATTGAATCCAACCACACCCTACAACTACTGTTTAGTAGTCACGATGTAGAGAATATATCTTCTCTATATTGTAATAGTAGTATATAATTAGTAGTATATTATTGGGTAGTATTACTAAAAACTATATAGCAAACATTAAATATTCAAAAATGATTGTTTGATTTATTAAAATATCAATAATTTTACCTTTGATTTTGATACATTTATTTTAAGAACTGATTAAAATGTATAACAATTATTTAAATAATTATATAAATATATTCATTTTGGCCCATCCAAATAAGATGAGCGTCTCCTATTGGATCTCATTTTGGAACAGTATAAATATAAAAAGTATATTATACTAATACAGTTTTTAGTTTTGACTATTAAGACTAGAAAAATGTACACAAAGTTAACAGGATAACAGCTTAATCTTATTCTCAAAATCTAATTATATCTATTATCTATAACAAATGTACATAATATTACTTATATTAGTATATAATTATATTGTTATGAGTTATATGCACTTACTAGTTACAATGTAATAACACTAGTTTCCCATAACTACCAATATATTATATTTGCTCATTTGAATTTGATTTATTCAGGGACGTATTTACGAGGGCAGATATGAGGACAAATCGGCCCCCATGGCTCCTCAAACACATGTGCATAATTATATTATAATTATTTCATCGTAATCTGTGAGCTAAAATTCTTGTCATCCACCCCCGACAAAAAATACTAAATACGCCACTGGATTTATTATCTAACAAAGACTTACGAGAGCAAAGCTTTCTGTAGCTTTTTAACAATAGAAACGTATGTAGTTCCCAAAACACAACAAGCCATAAGCATTAAAAAATTAATGTGTGTTTAACTGAAAAATTTGATTTATCAAAAAGTATAATTTTAATGTTATTGGTTATTAAATTGTCTTTTCCAATAATAAATATATTATATTATTATCCATTCTAGTCCAGTGGTTCAATGGAGATTTTATTCACAATAATAACCTAACTTAAACCCAAATGAGTGGTAACAAACTAAAAACATCTGATGGGTATTAAAAAAAATATATAAATTTATACTAATATTTTACTGTTTTTAAGAAAAAATAAAAACCGAAAGGCTAAAAATTAATATAATAAAATTATAAAAATACATTTTTTTCAGTGAGATAACAGTTAAGAACCTAGTCAATACATAAAATATTATCTTAGGTACCTAATACCTACTGGTAAAATAAATAAAACCATTTATTGAATTAAAGTTGCTAGTAAATAAGTCATATAATAAATGTATTAATCAAGTAGTTTAACAGTTCATAATTTATAATTTTTATATTAGAAAAAAAAAATATTACATAATATCATTTTTACATAAGTATTTACCTATTATATTATATAGAATAAGTCTGTAATACACAATTTAGTCTTTCATTTTAAAATTATGTAACATTTTTAAAAATTAAAATATAGGTACATAAACTTTTAAATAAAAATATGTATAGTTATAATAGATGAGCGATTTCCTTATGAAAAAGGTGTCTGATAGTAATGTGTTTTCATTATTGGAAGGATATAAATCTATTCATTAAACATAAATGTTTCACTGAAGAAATTTGTTAACACAAACCGGTATGAAAACAAAGGTTAGCAAACAACCAGGTATATTTAATTTACATACTGATTTGTATTGACAAATGTCAAGAGTAATTATAAGTGACAAATCTATACAATATTAAGGATGAAATATTATAATGATGGTTTCAAATTTACCAAGGGGCTGGTAAAATATAAAAATGAGTTAATCAATATGTATTACTGTTTGTGTATAAAGAAAATCATTATTGAAATCAACCCATTCAAAATCAAATATTTTGTACCTATTTTATTAATTAGTTTTAGTTTTAACTATATTATAGGTACATAACAATAAAATATGTTAATATAAGAATTTCAAAAAAATAGAGTAAATTGTTTTATTTAGTTTAGTTTTATACACACAAACTAATTTATCTAATTTATTTGTGCACTAAAAACATGATTGAAAATTAAATAATACATTTTACATTTTAAGCTGAATAAATGGTACTGTTACAGTGATTTTATCTTAAACAGATAACAAATAACAGTGTTATATGTATATCAAATACAATAATTTACAGTTATAATATTATTATTTATTAAACTAACACATTTTATCATATTTCAGTTTGTCATAAAAATTATTTTGACTCACATTGACTGAACTATAATCTCAAATCATAACAAAATATTTATATTTTAATATGAAATTCAACTAATAATAATTATATTGTTGTATAAATAACTAAGAATAAAGCAATTTACTTTATTATGGGAATATTTTTGTCTCTTTAAGCACATAATATTCCACCAGGAAATAAAAGTACTTGAATTTTGCTAAAATATTCAGATGTCCCTTTCATAAGCTAACCATAACAAATATGCAGCTAAATAAATAATTTAAATACAATAACTTATAAATATTGAATGGTATATTTGCAATATAATTTTACATAAATTGTGTATTAGGCGACATTTTTATAGTTTATTAGAGTTTTTGTAAAAACCGACTTTGTGATTCAAAGAAACCATGAAAAATGTCCATGTTCAATTTAATATATTATGGTGATTGTTTTATTTTTTAAATTTAATAATTTATGGTGATGGTTTTATTTTTTTAAATTATATTGATAAAATACATGAAATAAAAAGCCATCCATATTTGAGTTAACAAATTGCCAAATATGCAAAATGTTACAGCAATAAATTAACATAATAAATCACAATACATTTTTGTTCTTCAATATTGTACAATAAGCTTTTAAAAAACAAACAACAAGAGAAATGTGCTTTATACCAAACTAGCTTCATTTTTGTTTATTATTATCATCATTTTCATCTTCATCTTCATCCATCATTTGTTTGGCCAGTATTTTTGCAGTCTGGAATTCATTATAATGTTTTTTTCTTTTTTGTTCAAATACCTCTCTTGTGACTGAAATAATAAAATCTATATAGATACTAGAACTATTATAAGTGTAAAGAATTTTAGTTCCTGAATAACTAAGTTACATAAATTACGATATAGGTATACAGTTAATCAGTTTTATAAAATATAACAAACTTTTATCTTCTGGAGATTCATCTTCAGATTCAGGTTCTTCTTCTGATTGAAATGAACTACTTCTCCGTCTACCTCCTTCCTCAATCCTAGTAAATCAATAAAATTATTATTTATTTATAAAAATTAGTCATCAAAGTGATCACGTGACTTGAAGATTTTAATCAAGAGGATTGGGGTAGGGATTATGAATCTAAATTGTACGTTAAAATTATATTTTGATGTAAGTACCTATGATCTTTTACAGGCGTTTTAAATATATATATACTAATGTTTAGTAATAATTTAACTTTAAAAAAAAAAATGGTGGTTTTAGAAAATATTTATCCTAGTTCATATTTATTTCAAAACCAGATAAAGTGATATTGTATACCTTTTCCTCAACTCTTCTGCATTTACACCACCGTCCATTTCGTCATCATCTTCATTAATTTCACGTTCGTATGGTGTTTTTGGTTCATCCACTTTCATGTGTCCATAATCTTTATCTGGTGGATGTAAAGTCTTTAATATATTCATTTCGTCCCACTTAGCAGACTTGTTCCCAATTTTTTTCTGTTTTCTACAATATAAAAACAGAATTAGGTATGATTTATTATATTATTATGTTTATGATTACCTAATCCAAAATAACTTACTCTTTCTCTTCATAACTCACAGAAGGCTTTAGTATACCTTTGGACGGTTCTTTTTTCAAGTTATCGGTGGGATTTTCAGATCCTGATGGACCCGAAGTAGAAGCCATCTGTATTCGATTTAATATCTAATCGCGGTTATAAATTTTAATAGGAACTTCAATAATGTTGCATTATTCGCGTTTAGGAATTTAAAACCATTTCAGGTACATATTTTAGATATTTATTTAAATTTGTTATATTGTTATCACTTTTTACTTTTTTCAATTATTAATAACAAATAGTAAAAATAATATTAATGTCGTTTTTTTTTTTTTTTTTTGTTAAATCGTGTGATAATATTTAATAGTTAAAAATTAAAATGTAAAAATGATGTTTACCACGGACTAACCGCTAAAGTGTCAATTATCTTAGTTCATGTTACTGACCAATGTACGACGCACTATGTAGAGGTATTTACTATTTTAGTTCTTTTTTTCATCGTACTGAACTATTTACAATGCCCGACGGTTGGTATTAAATTGTAATTTTTTTATTTGAGGTTAGAATTCGTACTCTTGATCACGATTTAAGATAGTACTATCTTGATTAAGATCACGGACTCCCTGATGCAGTACTTCGTGGTCCATGATTAAGATCATACATAACAGTGTGGCGGTATCAAGTAAATTCTAAATGATAGATGCACAGTTGCAGTAACCTTACGAAACATGATAATTGATAACACATGAAAATATTATATGTAATATTATTTTTTAATATTATGGACATTTATGAGATAATGGTATAATAGCTTTCAATCAATATAGTAAATCATAAATTAATATTTAAATTTAATAATAATAGGTAGGTCGTAGGTAGATACGAATTCGGAACTACGAGTCAAATGTTGAATAAATTTTGACTAGGTACTGACGTACGTCTACTTGAGTAAAAGTATTCAAATTTCAAGTACTTTTTAACCTCTTACTTTACAATTTTTGATTTTTTTGATTTTAACTTCTCCAAAAATTAAAATATGACAATTATTTTTAAATACTCTTTTATATTATGACATTTTTAGGAATTTGGGGGATAATATCAAACATGTGGGAAAGTCGATTACAAGTAGACTTGACGAAAATTTCAAATTCCAATTGATCTATTGAAGCGAAAACAGATTTGAATTTATCATCAAGTCTACTTGAAATCGACTTTCCCACATGTTTGATATTATCAAACAAATTCCAAAAAAATTTAATTTAAAAAAGATATTTAAAAATTGTAGTATTTTAATTTTTGGAGAAGTTAAAATCAAAAAATGTAGGAAAGTCGATTTCAAATAGACTGGACGACAAATTCAAATCTGTTTTTAGAATTCTTATCGCTTTATAGATCAATTGGTATATTTGGCAAAGAACCAGTCTAAAATCCTATGTAGCGTGTGTGTTAAACAAAAACAGAAAATCACGGTATCGAATCCCCTTAAGTCAAAAATTATTAAAACTTTGGTATGAAACTTAGGTACACCAAAATTGAAGTACATTATACCATATAGGTAATTTGGTAAAAAAATTAGAAAAAATGAATAAAATTTAAATAAAATAAAATAACAATAAAATAACAAAACCGCTACATGAGAAATCGAGTGAATATAGGTATCCAATATTGTAAATATTGTAATATTGTAATTTAAGGGAACGAGCAATTACTTAGAATTACCGAAAGTTTCGAATTATTGAAGGTTTGAATTATCGAGAGTTGATTGTATATACTATATGTACCTACTTATCTATGTATAGTATATAGTATATACAGACTCGTAACAAATTATATATTTTTAGTACAACAGAAGTCAACAAGTCATCTCCATTTATATGATACCTCTGTATTTAACAATCGGATTTTTCTGGTTAATACACCAAAAGACGCAGTTTTTACTTCTTAATAATGTGCATTTTAAAACTAATTTTGACCATAATATGGAGCTCTGTTGTTGTTGTAGGTCTTCAAATTATATTATATTATTGTTATCAAGTGGTAAAATGGTTAGGGGAGGCACTGGTAATGAATTTAAGCTATAGTAGGTATCTATAGGTAGTAGGTACCTATAATAGGTAAAAATACTTTAAGTATGTCTATACCTAGTACCTACCCATTTATTATTGGGTTCATTAACGAATAATGTGAAAAAATGTAACCTATACCTACTTGTCAGGGCCGTCCCTACAATTTGGGGGGCCCGGGGCATAATTGAAAAATATTAAAAATCCAGTCCCAATTTTTTTTTATAAGCATTTAAAGTTCAAATTTTGACAAAAGGCGTAAAAATCACCAAGATGTGCAGATTATTTTGAGTTAGAAATTAATAAAAATGTTTCTTTTTAAATCTAAAATGTTCAAATATAATACAAGATTCATTAAAAAGTTATCTACCTTTATCAAAAAAAAAAAAAAAAACGTATATAAGAAACTTTATTACATTTTTATGAGCGTTTGAAGTTAATATTTTTACAATATTGGATACCTTCACTCGATTTCTCATGTAGCGGTTTTGTTATTTTATTGTTATTTAAGTATTTTACTTGTTCGCGGCAGTAATGCGAAAGCACTTCCCGCGGCGCCGTCGGTTCTAAACTGAAAAAAAAAAAAAAAGTATTTTACTTAACATTTTTTTTAGGCCCCGCATCAGTGGTGTATATACAAATTATTTTCACTATGGGCCAATTTTGTCAATTTATCACTATTCAAGGTTAGCTCCCCTATTCAAGCATAGCACGACTAACATAGAAATATTCCTATACATATTTTAGGGAGCTGTAGGGTGGTTATAATTATGACATATACAATACAAATAAAAATTGAGCAATTTAATTTTATAATTATGTAAAATTAATTTTTTTATTTAAAAAATACTGCCAATTTCATATATATATATATGTATTTTAATGTTATATAACTGTGAATTTAACATCAAAGTCATCAAAGCAAGTCCTGACAATCATTTCCTTGTGGAGTCCTCAAAAACGATTTTAATCAACAGGCTAAATTAATCATGGTGAAAAACTGTAAAGAGTGTAGAATGTAGATATACGTGAAATGCTTTAATTTAACCTGCAATTTCATTATGAGCTCTGGCCTAGGGGGCCTTCCCCTTATATACGCCCCCGCAAATTTTAGGGACGGCCCTGACAAGTAGGTAGGTATAGGTTACGTTTTTTTCACATTATTCGTTAATGAACCCAATAATAAATTTATACTAGGTGTAGAGTTTGACCAGATCTCCTCAAATGAAAGAAAAACTGATAATAGTTTGATATTAAGAGTTATATAAAAGACTGTATAACGATCTAAATTCAAAATTTGTTTGTATAATATATTAACGATTAATAATTATTGATTATAAGTTTTTTTCCAATGCAAATGATTATAATACTTTTGCAAATAATTGCATCGTATTCATCATAATGGTTATTTCTTTGTATATTGACGTCAACTTCACAATCGTTTGTTTTTGTGAATTAATAACGGAGTCCATAAAATATTCACTTGCTGAAGGTTCGCCTTCGGGAGTTTCGTCCATCTTTACGTAAATCGTATGAATACCTGTCTTGAAAACGGCTTTGCGGTTTTTCAACAAACCCATTACTAAATCATCCGCAAACCGTCGACAGTTTTCCGTTTCTCGATTCAACATTTTTGTTTTAATATGCTGGAACTCCAATAACGATGTGCAGTCGTTCAGACATTCGGTTTGCCTGTAAGTATATTTAATTATTCAAAAAATGTACCTGGTTTTAAGAAAACGTAACTGGTATTTTGGTTATAATATTATATATAAGTAATTATATTATAACTTAACTGGCAATTTATACACATGTATATTATATATTTATAGTTTATACACGTATTGTTTTACATTTGTATCAATTACATGTTACAAAAACTCTAGAAGTGGGTAGGTACTATTGTTGAATTGTTATAAGAGTGAGTCGAATGCGATGATTTATTTTTTTACCATTATCCATAGTCTTAAATTTCTGGGGTGCACTCTTAAGTGCTACTAATCAGCACCATGCGCATTTTAGAGTTAGAACTTCCATCGAATAATTAATATTAATAAATCACCATTTACTGAATCCACTGAAAATAACTGTGGAATTGGATAATATAGAATCTGGTGCAATTCTGATAATATCAGAATTTGGTGGAATCTTAAGTTTACCACCTCCAGAGCAGGTCCAGAGTACAGACCCTGTAACCATCAATATGGTCCATTGGGTATAGCAACTATTAACTAGGTACCCATATGGCTATAATACCGTCTCCGGGAAGCGGGTATACTTTATAAATTAAATATTTCATATCAATATTATAAATTATTTTTAAAATGTCAAATAACAATATTATAATATTTAATTCATATTTAAAATGTGACAATACTGACAATACCATGCATAGAAAACTTTGAATAATATATTAATACAGTAATAGGGTTAGCACTGCAGTATAGCAGCCACTCAGTATATGTGCGGTGATTTATATTTTTATGTATTCGGGAATACCTACTTGATGTGATCCCTCTTGATGTTCGAATGAACGTCGGACAACCGATCGATGTTTGTAGTCAAGTACTCCAACACTTGTCGGTGATTGGACGGCACATTGCAGACCGGACAGGCGCTGGACCGCGTGTCCATCAGTGCCGAAACGAACGCGCTCATCGTTTGGTCAGTCGTACGATGATCGTCGGCCTGCAGAACAGGCAGGTCCATTCGGAAATCGGCACCGCAGTCGCAAGATCCGCGGTGGACGAACGTAAACGCGTCGCTGACGCCCAACACTTCGTAGCGCCGGCCATCGACGTACGCGAACCGATACGGTCGAGCGCACCGGACGGCCCACCGACGGATGATCACCTCGGCTTGTCCGCGGCCGCTGCCGGGCAAGACGACGTGCGCTACCATCTGCGACGCGTAACGGAACGCGGCAGGCACGACGATCACGGCGGCCCCGTCCACCGCGGACATGTAATCGGCCACCGTGTACTGGCAACGCACACGGCCACTGTCGATGTCGAACCGTTCGCTGTCGCACGTCAATGACACCCATTTGCCGCCAAACGCACTGACTCCGGCGATGACGTCCGTCGAACCCATTGATGTATATTACGCAGGTCGCACAGGTGAATTCTTGCACCTACAGTACGTTAACTTTGAAAGTGTATAATAATTAAAGTAGTCGATCAATATAATATGGTAATATATCGTAGGTAGGTATTATTTAGACTTTGGGTATAACGCGTTTAAGTATAGGTATAGGTAGTAGGTATACCTACTTGATAGCTACTGCACTGGAGCCATACCTACATATTGCTCAATAGGTGCATATAAAGATATTGCTGCAGGCGCCGTGTCTTTCGTGAGTTGATCAGCCTCCGATGGTCTATACTGAATATAATAATATTATGTCGGTTTATAGGTATAGTTTGGTGTATTAAAGGCAAGAGTGAAGATATAATTCAGTTTGTATATATAGATGGCCGTAAAATTATATAGCGATTAGTGATCGATCCGTAGGTAGGTATAGGATGTCGATGATCAAATCGAAAGTGATTCTTTCCTACAATATTATTAAAGTATATAACGGAATTTATTGTTTCGTGGCTATGGAGACCGAATGCGTTTTTCGCCCTAGTGCCTTACTTATTAAAATCTATAACAAACAAATCTATAAAAATCTAGGTATAATACACCGTCACACCCTCTCAAAACTTTTTATTTACAGGAAGTAAAATATTTAACAATGAGGAACTATTTATATAATTTGAATTGATTCAAAATTCACATCGAACACAATATGATGGAAGATTATCCAATGGAGAGAAGGGATGTGAACCCCAAGTCACCACCTCGTATACGTCACTGTATTATACTGTTGAATATAAGGTTGTTGTAGATAAAAAATTAATTGCATGATAAACTATAAAAAATATCATATGACCTACAAATTATTATTTAATACGAAGCAGAAGTCAACGATTGCTGAAGCAACCAAAATTCGATAACTATATAGGTAGGTACTTAAAGCTACCGCAACGGCCACGGTCGTGGATTCGCGACTGATGGTTGTAGTTAACGACCAGTTATATTAAATTAATTGTTTTTATTTTTGATTGTTTGATTTTATTATATTTCAGTTTATTTTAATCAAATGTTACTATATTGTTTTCCTCGTCAAAATACTTCTACCCTTTGTTAGACTATACTAATGTAAAACGTAGCAAGACACTGTAGTTAGGTATACTTATTTTCTCATCCATAAGTATCTACTCGTTAATGTGTAGTCGTGGAGACTTTGTCTAGGTTAAAGAGATCTCACCCCCGAACATCCGCAGTATTCGTTATAGTGCAGGTCAGTTGTTCGAAAGTAAAGAGACCTTAGAGTTATACAGTGTAAAATGTAAATCTTGTGGGACCTATTGTTTTCACTGGAACCTACCCAGAATTCAAGATCCCTCACCAGAGCCGTGTTAAGGGAGGGGGGGGGGGCAAAGGGGTCAATTGCCCCCGGGCGCTGAATTGCTTGACACGGCTCTGTCCCTCACCAATATATATCGTGGCTTATAGTGACCGTTAAGAGGACGCCACTACCGCATGTGTTGTCTCCGTCTTACTAATGTAAAACTAGGGCTCTTTATTAGAGCCTTAGTAAAACATAGCAAAAACTGTTTTGCGTGGGAAAAAACCGAGAAGGCTACTGTCATACCCAGTGGCGTTTCCTGACTTTCGGCGTTAGGCGTTAATGTGTGAGGAAAACAATTAGGAAAACCCCCCTTATGGGAAATAAATTCGTATCAACTATTAATAATCAACATATTATTAAAATTATTTATTATATATTATGTTTTCGACGATCGGCGTTGCAGTCTTGCAGTATAGTACCTATGGGCTACGACATAAACAGGATAACGTGCAGCCGCGACGATCCCCACTAACGGTCCAAACACAGTGTATAGGCTATCGCTAGACTAGTGAGTAGTGGCTAGTCGTTAATTTCATTTTAAACGACTTGGTCTAGTACACAGTGCCGTAACTAGGCTACTTGAGGCCTGTGTGCAAACCAAAATATTGAGGCCCCTTATTATCTTTTTCAATACACAACTCAAAAACTTTTTTTGCAATTTTTAAAGTCAGCAGACAAAAAAACCGGTCGACAATTCTGCCGATTTTTTTGTATTCAGAAGGGCCAGTTCTATAGACCATAAAAAAATTAGGTTGTACAATAAATAAATTAACAATACAATTCAGCTTAATTGAAAATATAATTTATTGTGATTTAAATAGGTAAGTTGGGAATTTCAATCTTGAAGTGGTTGAAAAATTGCAATATTTTATGGATATGGCAGAGCTTGCAAACGTTATAATAACATTATGATTATTGATTATAACGTTTTATTTTTTACAAAAAAGGATACATGTTTGTAAACGTAATTATAACGGAATGCGATAATCAAAAATAATTAAATACAGCATAACAAAACATATAAAACGGTTTTAAATTCTTAAACTACATAGCGCTAGCGTTTTAACTTTCAAAACGGTTTGAGTATAAACCGTTTTAACGCCATCATATAAACCTAGTAATTTACTAGGTTAAAAAATAAATAATAAATAATTTATATATTTTAATAATTTTATATTAGTTTAATATTAGTCTTTAGATCTTCTGAGGCCCTTCGATATATTATGGGGCCCGAGGCCTGTGTGTGGTACACACTCTGCACACCCGGTTTTTACGGCACTGTATAAAACGCAATATAGGTACACCCCAACACATACACAAAAAACAATAATTGTAAAATCGCAATACGCATTGGTCGCGTTCCGTTCTGAATCTAAAAATCTTATAGGTACCTACAAAAGTATAAAGCGAGTATATATATTATATATTATACGACAGTATAGTAATATAATGCAGATCGACATATAAATCCTCGTTAAAATATTATAATACAATTATTATAGTGTACCTCTGCGTAAGTATATACAGTTAGAGTCGGTATACCAATAATAGTCGTAATAATGGCATTTGGAAAAATTAACGGGCCCGAAATCCAGCTGATGCCGGCCGTCGATTAATATAATAATATGCTGGCTACTAATAAACGATGTTTGTTTAAAATCATCGTCGACGGCCCAGGAATAAATACCGAAATCGGCACATTTGCAACTCTGAGCTCATCTGAGTATATAATCTGACCTAACCTTACGCGGACAAAAAAAAAACCTGAACGAAAAAATGGCTGCATCGCATATTGAAGAAAAGGAAATGTTAACAACTATCATGCAAATCTTGGGAAAAATAATAAGCAACGTCGAGTACGAGATTATGGAAGAAGAACTTAAACGAATAGACGACATCGACCAAGAGCCTACCATCGGAGACCTGGAAGGACTTTTATCGTATGCGACGCGCTTCGCGGGGGACGACTACGTCCCGTCCAACGTCTTTCAACCGGTCGACAAATCTGACAAAATGGCAGAACCGGTTGAACCGATCGTTGAAGTGGTCGCGCCTCCGGTGCAGGAAGCCGCGAAAAAGGAGCTGGATGGCGAGGCGGTGGGCGCCACACCGGCCAGAGGACTGGAAGTCAGAAATAGTATCGGGATCTTGATTGGTTGGCTGGACCCGGGGGTCAAGGCAGAAACACGCGCAGCTCCGCGCAGTGCAACGGCGAGACTGGTGTCCTCTGCGTGGAGAGGCCTGACGAGAGCCGCACGCGTGTTGCGCTGTTGTTGTCCCCCGAAGTGAAACCGTCCAAAAGTTTCCCCCCTGGCCGAGGGCAGCGGACAAGACGAGGCGACGTGTGGGGTTTCGAGGTAATAGGTACGCGGCAGTGCACATTCAGGTGGTGACCGGCGGTAAGTCGCCGATACACGTTCTCCGGCCATCCTGCGGCAGCGCGACGGGATCGCGGACGTTGCGAGCTCGAGGTCGCCGAGACACGCGAGACCCTCTGGCGGCGCGGCGGGCGCCCGGCTGCTTCGGTCCGGGAGCGACGACGACACGACGACGACGGAGGTTAGCGGTACCGGCGCGGACAACGACGCCGTCCCCGACACGGTACCTGCTCAGTGACAAACGCTGCAGTGCTGCGCGACTCGCGTGACGGCGGCGACGGAGACCTCAGAGCTCACGGCGGGTGAGTGACGGATGACTATGATTACAGGGTATAGCTAGGAACGCCACGGACGTCAGCAGCGCCGGGCTCGAGGAAACGAAACGTTTCGTCGGGTTCGACGGTGCGCGGCTCCGTGGCCATCGGCTGTGGCAGACGGAGACGCCAGGGCGAAAATCACGGAGACTATCAGGACAGCGGCGCGTCGTCGCGAAGCTGTCTGCAGATTTTCTCCCTTTTTCGCCCAGTGGTCCGATCCCGAGTCGCAACGCCGCCGATTCCGCAGCTGCACCGAGATCGTAGTCGCCAGCTCGCCTCTCCGAGCTTTGCAGGTCACCGTCGTTGCCGGCACAAGCAGTCGTCTTCAGCACCCGCAGTACCGTCAAGCAGCGCACGACATCGCGCACTAGCCTCTCGTCGCCAATCGTCGTCGCTCTCGCAGCCGTCGTGGCCGGGCTTCGTCCGCTGCCATGGTCGTCTTGGCGGTCTCGAGCAAACTCGCCCGCGACTCTCGTCCGCCCCGCAGGACAGCCCGTGAGAACGTTGTAGAGGTGACCAGTGGCCATATACCAGTTACCAATACATCATCAGCACCACCAATTCGCCACCACGTACCCCCCCACATCGCGTCGTCTTGACCGATGCCTTTTTTTTTTGTATTTAAATTTTCTTTACTTATATCGAATAATATTCACTTTACAAATTTCGGCTTTTTCTTTTTTGTTCTAACTTTTTTTTGAACATACAAAATTGTATAATAATATAACGGCAACCGTTTCCAAAATTGTTTCCGTTTTTGAAATTATATTCAAAATTAAAAAATGTTATATTGTTTTTGTTCGATAATTAAAAATAAATTTGTGAACACAAAAAACTATTGTTGCTTTTTTCGTATTGTCGAGTGTGTAAGTCAATTTTTACAATATAATAAAATATTGACTTTAGTTGTAATAATATTCTAAACTGAACAAATCTTGTAACAGATATCTATTACTGTACTCAGTGCCGTAACTAGGCTACTTGAGGCCTGTGTGCAAAACCAAAATATTGAGGCCCCTTATTATCTTTTTCAATACACACCTCAAAAACTTTTTTTGCAATTTTTAAAGTCAGCAGACTAAAATTCGGGCTTAAACAAAAAAAAATGTTTAATTTAAAATAATCTATAATTTTAAAACAATTTCTCAAGGCTATAACTAACTCAAAAAAGGTGGGTAAGTGGATGTCGCTCTGCTGTACAGTAGGTTACAAGTGGGTCACTATATAATGGATGGTATTAAATTTGAATTCAATGATACAATATCATTGTATAAGAAAAACGATTCTGAGCGAAGACGGTATGTCAGTCTAGGTTTAAGACATTATATATATAAATATATATATGGTATTAAATTATATGGAATTTATGAATAAATTCCTTAAAATATTCACATAGTCTCATCTTGAGAATACTTCTTATTCCTTATAGTATGGTAGATTGTATGGATAGGCCATAATATTTTGATTTTTCAGTTTCATATATCCCCGAATAATATTTTTAAATTGCAACAAAAACAAAGATCGTTAATATTGATTTTAATATGTAAATTCGTCCAAATTTGAATTTAAAATGTCTGTAAAAAATAACTGTGTTCATATATTTTTTAGATTTTTTGGTTACAGTATGAACTATTTATGAGAATCTTTGTGTTGAATTTGCAATCCTTAGCTATAAAAACTGAACATTTTATAATTTATTAATTACAATAATTGATAATTTTCGAGATTTTGATAAATTTTGTCAAAATTCGATGTTAAAATGCTTATAAAAAAAAATTGTGCCTATGTATTTTTAATATTTTTCAACTGATATTGTAACAATATATCAGGAGCCTTGTATTAAATTTTTACACTTTTTGGCCCAACAGATAAAACTTTATTGATATTTATAGAAAAAAAAAACTAAAAAAATTGAAAACTGAAAATGTCCGTAAACGGCTCAAAAGAGTCAAAATATTTTCAAAATTGTATGGTGTATAGGAAATGCTAATATAAACATTCAGTGAAATTTTCATGTATCTACAGTAATTCGTTTTTTAATTACAACAAAAAAAGTAAATTGCCACATGAGAAATCGAGTGAATATCCAATGTTGTAAAAATTTGAATTTCAAACGCTCATAAAAATTTAATTTGACTTTCCGGTAGAGATTTTTTATTGATAAAGGTAGACAATCTTATGAGTAATCTTGTATTAGATTTTCAAATCTTAAATTTAAAAAGAAAAATTTTTACGAATTCTTAACTCAAAATAATTTGCTAATTTTCGTGATTTTTCCATATTTTGTCAATTTTTGAACTTTAAATGCTTATAAAAAAAAATTGTGACTAAGGATTTTTAATATTTTTCATCTGCCTTTGAAACAATATATTAGGAGCCTTCTATTAAATTTTCAAGCTTTCGCAACCAACAAATAAAATTTTATTGATATTTCAAGAAAAAAAACTAAAAAAAAACGAAAAATTAAAATGTCCCTAAACTGTTCAAAATAAATCAAAATATTTTGAAAATGTTATCGTGTATAGAAGATGCAAATATAAACAACCAGTGAAAATTTCATGTATCTACGGTCATTTGTTTTAAAGTTACACCAAAAACCAGAATCGATTTTTTGGAAAACCGATTTTGCGTAAAAATTCCCGTTTTTCCTTAATTTTTATGTTGTTTTTCCCGGCGCTCTTGAAAACTACTGGGAAATTTAAATTTTTACCTCCCCAATGCACCAACGATATTCACTTTCCAATCGAACAAGATACTGAAGTCGAAAATCGAAGCATTATTTCGACTACTTATCGTGTACACAGACACAAAAATAAAAAAATAAAAAAATAAAAAAATAAAAAAATAAAAAAATAAAAAAAAAAACACACATCATTGTAAAATCAATACATTCATCGTTTCACTCAGAATCTAAAAGTAAAAATTGTCCAAAATGTAATTTATTGAAAATATTAATATAAATATTTGGTGAAAACTTCAATGGTCTACGGTTATTAGTTTTCGAGTTACACCAAAAAATAAAATTTTTAGTTTTAGGTAAAAATGACAATTTTTTTTTTTTTTATTGACACTTTTTAATATCTAAAACTAAAAATTTCGGTTTCGATATCCAAAAAGTACCAACTAGATTCACTTTTCTAACAGAAAAAATGCTGATCTCGAAATTCGGAATATTTTTACTACCCATTGTTGATGACCGACAGAAATGAAAAAAATTATACACATCTTGTAAAATCAATACATTTGTTCGTTCCTCTCAATTGGTTTGAAACATTGGTTTCGTTTCCAAATCAATAATAAATAATTTATATATTTTAATAATTTTATATTAGTTTAATATTAGTATTTGGATCTTTTGAGGCCCTTCGATATATTATGAGGCCCGAGGCCTGTGTGCGGTGCACACTTTGCACACCCGGTTTTTACGGCACTGCTAGTACACGAATTAAGATATACCTTAATAGATATATCTTAATTCGTGGTCTAGTATTAACATGGCACCGAAGTTATCCGAAAATATCACGACAAATTACGAATACGAGATATTAGATACCACAAGTCGTTGTTCGAATTATTAACGTCCACAACACAAACACAACATAATACAATATTATTCCGTAATCGGCGTCGTAGCTGCAGACGGCGCGGGCGCATGGTCGAGTTTAGAGCTTAAAATAGACAATAGTTTATTATTTGATATTATTATTTTTACATGACAATTATTTTAAGATTTTGTAAATAAAATTATATAACCATGTAATATACTAATATGAATTACAAATTACAATATTACACACATGTATGACATCAATGTTTAGGGCGTTAACACACAACTTGCACACCCAGAGAAAACGCCACTGGTCATACCTAACTAAGAAACGACATTTTTACCACATAAGAAGGAGAACTTTGCTGTGCAATATCATTTTTATTTCTTTCAATATCCGAATTACAAAAAAAAAATTTCAAGTTTCAAAAACAGACAATATTAGACTTTGAAACAATAAAAACGTTGTGTTCGTACAAGTGATATCAAAAAAATTAAAACGATATTGCAAGCCAAAGTTTTTCTTTTTATGTGGTGAAAATGTAGTTATGAATGTAACCTTCTCGGTTCTTATTCCCGCGCAAAACAGTTAACGCTCCAAACCTATTAAAGGTTGAAAATTTAAAAAAAGGTTCCACGTATTAACATACACTAAAACTCATGTCACATTGAACTTTATTTAAGAAAGAATAAAACTCACATAATAACAACCGTCCGTCAGGACATACGGGCGACGACTGATAACTCTCAACCGACTCCCCGTCAGTATAGTTATCAACAACAATATATAAAGATAACATTCGGCCATCCTTAGGCCTTATGTCCTCATAAGGCACATAACACAATTTATACTTAATTTACATATTATATAAAGTACATATACATTTTAAAATAACATAATAATTATGATAATTAGTTTTCTCTATGAATACAACATGTCAACATAGCAAATAATGCTTTACATTCAACAGTATGAGGTACTTTAGGAAATATCTTGTATATCATATCATCATAACAATACTTAGCATGATAATTTTCATATAACTGACTTAATATTAATCATACAAATTAGAATATACACAGATATTTTAATTATTACATATAAGAAATTATACAAAGTCTTCAAATTTGTTTGGCTTTCGCCTGACTCGAATGGGTCGTTGATCAGTCTTGTCCTCTTCCTTCTCCATTTCTTCATCTTCCTGGTTACTATCTTCCTCTTCTTCGCATGAGTCAGATCCAGAGTTCATGTACATCTTCATCTGATCTAAGGCTACCACTCCTTCGTAGAATCTTTGGGTTCTTTGAATCTCTGGTAAATCTTGTACCCTGAAACGGTCATTAGGTAGGACTTCTGTGATTACATAGGGACCCTTGTATTTCACCAACATTTTCTTTGACTCTCCTGGTTGTCCTGTTGTCTGACGCTGTATCATCACTAAGTCACCTGTGGTAAATGTAGGAACCTTAATTCGCCCTTGATTGTGGTAGTCCTGCATTTTCTTTTGCTCTGCAACTATTGACTCTAGCGCTCGAGCTCTTAATTGTAAAATGTCACATGCGTTGTTTTGAGTTGACAGTACTTCATCTTGAACTGCATCACCATCATAGGTCCTTGGAATAAATCCAAACATTAGTGTGAACGGAGTCGATTTTGTTGCTTTATTAAATGCATTATTAATGCTCCATTGAATTCTTCCTATAACTTTGTCCCAATCATCTTCTTCCTTGCAGGTGGTAGTCAACATTGATAAAATTGTCCTATTAAGTCTCTCACACTGTCCATTGGCTCTAGGTGTAGCAGTTGCGTTCCTCACATGAATAATGTTCCTGGCTTTGCACATTTGTTCAAATTCTTTTCCGGTGAAAGCTGTACCGCGATCACTGACTATCCTTACCATGGGCCCAAATATAGCTATGATGTCCTCCATCAACTTGGTGGTAGTGCTGCTCTTAACATTTTTAGTTGGTCTTAAAATTGAAAACTTTGTAAACCCATCGACTAATACAAACAGATATACATTGTTAAGTTTACCTTTTATAAAAGGTCCCAAGTGATCCACATGTACTGTATGGAATGGCACACCTATCTTATCAATTGCATGAAGTTTACCTTGACGTTGTCCACCTGGTACTTTATTGTATAAACAGTCTAAGCATGATCCAACAAACCCTTTTACATATCGTTTCATATAGGGAAACCAATAGTGGCGTCGCAATCTTTCCAATGTGTTCTCTACAGCTGGATGTCCTACATTATTATGACACAGCCTCGTTATTTGACTTCTTGCTCGTTTTGGTACTACCCATAAAAGTTTATCATTGTTCCTACGGTATAGTCTCCCGTCAACAACACTATATTCTTCTTGAATTTTTCTTTCAGCTTTGTTCAATACCTGCTCTCCTCCAATCCCTACAATTCTTATGATTTCATTCAATTTGTTGTCATGTCTTTGAGCAAGTGTTAACCAGTCATCATTGTCCATAGTATTTAACAATACATGAAATATTTCTGTTTCTTCTAAAATTGATTTTTCTTCAGCGTTTGGGTTCCTTGAAAGGGCATCCACATGGTCCATCTTATCCCCTGCTCGGTGTTCTACTTCAAAGTCATAGTCCATGATCTGCAACCACCATCTTCCAATTCTTGGTACAATGTTTTTCTTGCAGAACGTCCATCTGACAGCTGCACAATCTGTAATCACTTTAAACTTTTTCCCTATTAAGTAAGTGCGGAACTTTTGTAAAGACCAAACTACAGCCAGAGTCTCTAGTTCAGTAGAGTGATAACGCGATTCTTCTGCCGTTGTTTGGCGGCTCGCATATGCAACTGGATGCATCGACGCTCGTTCATCCTTTTGCAAAAGTATTGCTCCCAAGCCCAATTGAGAAGCATCACAGTGTACTTCCGTCTCAGATAGCGGGTCATACAGTTTTAATATAGGTTTATTTGTAAGAATTGATTTTAATTTTTCAAACGCAGCATCTTGGTCCTCAGTCCATTCCCAAGGAGTATCCTTATGCAGTAATGACGTAAGGGGTTTAGTAATTTGTGCATATCCTTGAACATATCGCCGAAAGTAACCAGTCAGGCCTAAGTATTGTCGCACATTGTGTACATCCCGTGGTCTGGGAAAGTTCATCACTGCTTCGATCTTGCGTTTACTTGGTGCTATTGAGCCTTCTGAAATGGTTTCTAAATTGTACAACCCGTCTTCTACTGTGCGACTAGGAATCAGAACATCGTCCATGAACACCATAGCAATTGTAAATCGCAGAGGTCCCAAAACTTGATTGATCATGCGTTGGTACACAGATGGTCCGTTTGCTATACCAAATGGCATTCGTGTGAATTCATATTGACCATCCGGTGTTATGAATGAAGTCTTCTCCCTGGCGTCTTTGCTCATTGGTATCTGGTAATAACCGGAAAACATGTCTAGATTAGTATATAATTTCATACCTGCTAAGCGGTCAATTTGTTCTTCTATCAAAGGTAATGGATAGCGGTCCTTCACCGTTATTTTGTTCAGTGCCCGATAATCCACACAGAATCTACTTCCGCCGTCTTTCTTTTTGACCAATAGGATCGGAGATGCATATGGGGAATTGGAATCTGTTATTATACCGCATCCCTTCAAGTCTTCAACCATTTCTCTCACTGTTCTTCGTTCTGATTCGCTCAACCGATAAGGACGGAAAGTAACTGGTTTGTTGGTAACAGTTATTATATTACATTCAGTACTTTTGACTTTGCCCAATTCACTCATTTGGGTGGCAAAACAGTTTCGATATTTGATTATGAGTGTCTGTAATGCCAGTTGTTCTTCAGTTGTTAGTTGGTCACCATGTTTAATGGACTCTACATCAAAGTCTGATTTTTCGCACTGGGTTTCTGCAATCTCCGTACATAATATAGCTCTGCTTATTCTCTCATTTTCTTTTACATGGACGTCTGACGTTGAAAGATTGATAATAGGCAATCGTGCCTTACCCTGGTCATCAGTAGTTATTACACAACTTGGAATACAGCGGTCATCTCTTATTTGTGCGTTAACAAATAAATCTAATGATTTGTTATCCGACTGTACCTCAATCACTCCAACATGCTTCGGTGAAATTACTTCTGTTTGTTTTGCCCACAAACTAATTACTCTTGGTGGCAATTCTGGGATATCCATATCAAATACGTCGTTGCCTTCTTTAGTGTCTTCGTATATACGTAAAATGTCTCCACGTTTGACTAGTACAACATGCGATTGTTCGGTGAATGGTTGTCCAACTATAAGTGCTATGGTCTGTGCGTCATCTGAAACGATATAAATTGGTACTTGAGAAGTAGCGCAGTCCACTCGTAATTTGACTGTGACAACGCCTATAGGCACCAATCTACCATCACCGTAGCCTCGGATTTCAACTGTATTTGGTATTGACTCGATCGATAATCCCATTGTTATAGCGTCACTCTTTCGCATTAGACATAGTTGACTTCCAGTATCTACGTACGCTCGTACTGGTTTTTCATTAACTAAAACATCAAAAAAATACTTTTCATTGATTGTGTTTGGTGTTGAACTTACTAACGACACAACTTGGGTATTCGTAAAACAAGCGTTTTTTTCATGACCATATTTCCCACATTTTTCGCACTTCGCTTTTTTTGGTTTTGTGCAGTACCTTGATACATGTCCATATGTAGAGCAGTTGAAACAGAGTGGCTCGTCTTTGTCATTGCGCGGCGGTAATTTGGTAAATGTCTTACGGTTAGTGTCCTTGGATGCAGTAGGCATTTGAGACTTGGTTGTACTGGACGTAACGTGACTTACTTCATTGGTATTTGGACGTTGTGGCTTATCTTTTTTAAAATACTGTGAACGGGCGTCACTAATCTGAGTAAACGACGTTAAATCGTAACACAAGTTATCTTCATCAATGTGATGTCGAGCTAACAAATAGTAACATAAGTCTCGCGACCTTAATCCGGCGACAATTTGCTGCTTCGTCTCATCAAACGGCAATTCTAATTCACGACATAATCTAGCTTTATGATGAAAATAATCGGCTACCGTTTCCGATTCACTTTGTACTCGTTTCAGCATGTTTTTCATACGTTCGACTATATTCAGTTTCGAACCGACAAATGTACGTTTAAACTGAAATACGAATTCGTCCCAATTTGTAAATTTCCTACCGGTAAACCAATTGTTCGCTGGTCCGATCATTCGCGAGCGCGCACTTTCAATTTTGAACGCGTCGGGCCATCGATGTAGTTTAGCGACACCTTCGATTGCTGCCAACCAATCTTCCGCGGTTTGACTATTACTTCGACCATCGAATTCCGGCAACGTGTTGAGAAAATTTGGCATAACAAGATATTCCGAACTTTCCGACGATGTTGACGATCGATCTCGATATCTCTCGTTTATAAACAAACCGTTTATCAATGCTTGATTTTGTTCCAGTAGTGCCTTTATCATCGGATCTAAACCACTAGTACTTGTAGTTACGGACTGGGTTGGTAACACTGTTTCATCCTCGGGTGTTCGGTCATTACTTTTGGCGGCATAATTGTGTTCAACGTTTTTGTTCGATTCTTCATTTCGTAGTTTTTGTAGGTTATGAGTACTCCCTGTATCCAGCTTTTCGTTGCACGAAACACGTGACTCTTGTGAACTCGGTTGATCTCCATGGACGTTATGTTCGTTGTTCGGCATAATTATTGTTCTTAGATCGTCGTTCATTTATTGTTCATCTGTTCGTCTTCTGTTCATCTTCTGTTCATCCCACTTCTGAATATTAACATACACTAAAACTCATGTCACATTGAACTTTATTTAAGAAAGAATAAAACTCACATAATAACAACCGTCCGTCAGGACATACGGGCGACGACTGATAACTCTCAACCGACTCCCCGTCAGTATAGTTATCAACAACAATATATAAAGATAACACACGTAAATAGGTTATTAGGTTATAAATATTATATACATTATTTTATTCACATTACTTTTACATTACTTTATTCACAACAATATCATCAAATATACTTGGTAATATATCATAATGCTGACTGAATATTCGCTCAGAATCGTTTTTCTTATATACAATGATATAATATTAAATTAGAATTTATAACCATCCTTTACAGATTACAGTGACCACTTGTAACCTACTGTACAGCAGAGCAATGGCGGAGCGAACTATTTTCATGAATGGGACAGCAATATGTCCATTTGATCTATACCCCCCCCCACCCTCACCCCCAAATGTTTATTAAAATAATATATTTAACTCAACTCTAGGCACAATAGGAATTTTATATTTTGGAAGGGGCTATAGATCAACCCACCAGACCGTCCAGACCACCCCGCCCCAATTTATAGATGGGATACTTGACCCAAAAATTCTGCATCACGCCGCCACTGCAGCGGAGTGACACCCACTTGCCCAACATTTTTTTTCTGTGTCTGTCATCACCTTTTTTACATTGTACGTTTTAGCTAAATATTCATCTTCATAATATGAAGATATTCAATATTAATGATTGGATAAGCTTGGTAAGGTCTATCGACTATCATAATATAAAAAGGTATACCTATTGATTATTGAATAACTTTTATCACATTACCCTAGCTAGGGGTATGTAACATTTCTGGGGTAATTTGTTACAAATTGTTTTTCTTTTCAAAGAAGTTTTTAACTTAAAAATATTTTTAATATTTTTTATAATGTCTTTAAACAGTTCAAAACAAGTCAAAATATTTTGAATACCTATTTTATGGTGTATACCAAATGCTAATATAAATTTTCATTGAAAATTTCATGTATCTACTGTAATTTATTATTTTAGAGTTACGCCAAAAACCAAAATCGATTTTGTCAAAAACCGATTTTGGGTAAAAATTCTAGTTTTTCCTTAATTTCTATGTTGTTTTCCCTCCGCTTTTGAATTTTGAAAACTATTGAAATTGAAATTTTAAACCTTGACCTCCCGAACGCACTAACTAGATTCACTTTCCCATCGAACAAGATACTGTTGAAGAAAATCGAAGCAGTTTTACTGCTCCAAACCATGATGACAGGAACAAAAAAGTAAAAAAAAACCACATCATTGTAAAATCAATACATTCATCGTTCCGCCAAGAATCTAAAAACGGTATGAGGTTCACTACTTGACTAGATAATATTCATACTTCTAAATTTTATAAGAGGTCAATTCATTCTGATTTTTAAACTAAATGTGCTAAATGTGATCTGCTAGACGTACCTACAGTTTGCTATGTAATGCGTTTGTGAGACGTAGAGATCCTATGCGTGTGTAGCTCCCAAGTAACATCATAAGATAAGATATTTGTTTAAATCATTTTATTCTTATGCACACTGACATGTCTTGTATACTTGGAGGAGAATTGGAAATGGCTTTTAAATAACAGTCAAAATGAATCCATTCATTGGAAAATTAAGTTCCCAAATCTGTATTGTATTCATTTTTTAAAAGCCCAACAGTTATCCTTATGTCTGATACTGTCATTTTAGTTAGTTTTGAAAAAAGTATAATTTTTTTAAGAAGTTCTCATGGATCACTATAAACATTTTCCCGCCCCAAAAATTTGGCGCCCGGGGCATATAACTATTGTGTAATAGTTTATAGTTAATACATATTCTTTATCTAATCTACGGTTATGATTATGAGGAATGACAAAATACGATTACGATTTAGGTAAGTACGAGTTATTAAGACCAAACATTCAGCTATGCCCAAGGTAAAACAATCTTGTTAATTTTTCTTAGTTGATTGTTTGGATTTGATGAAATTATGAAAATAAGTCTAAAAAGTAGAACTGTTAAACAATATATCGTCCAAAACATGTTTAACTCTAATAACTATAAAATGCACAGAGTTGGACATTAGTATAGTACTATTAAAATGTTAATACTTTTGTAAAGAAATATAGAATATACTATAAAATTACATACAGCTACAAATGTAATTAATTTTTTTTTTTTAATAGAAACGTTAAAAACTGATCAATAAATTTATTTATAAATACATATATGATACATTTACTATATGATTAAAATGACATAGTTCGTAATAAATACAATAAATAATATTTTAAAAAAATACACGTCTTGTAAACATGACTATTTTAATAGTTGGCTAAGGTAATTTGTTTACATTATCCGCTGATGCACGAACCAAAATAATATCAGGTGATTATAATTATAATAAATAATAATAATGTATTGAATGATTTTATATACATTTCATAAAATACAAGAATATATATTTTTCAGTATTTGAATTAGATTAAAATAAAACAATTATAAGTGTTTACTATAAATTAAATCAATTGCATTTTTAAACAATAAATCACAATAACAATAATTAAGGTACCTATAGAACTTCTACGAAATCAACAGATAAATAACCTGTGTATAAAAATATATAAATTAATATATTTATGTAGATAAATATTAATTTTTGGTATTATATAGGGTGAACCACTGTGTTCTCGCTTACAGCAAACACAGGAAAACAGGAAAATACAGTGGCCCACTCTGTATATAACAACTATATTATTTGTAGAGTATAAAAATTTGCCGCTTTGTATAACATAAAGTATTTAACAAGTGATAAATTGTTTGTATATTAATTTATAGTACAATTTTATATTATGTAAAAAAAAAACTTTAAGTGGTTAACCTGTTAACATAGGTATTACTAATACATTCTTCAATAATTAGGACTAGGCATAATACACTATTATTTTTAAAAGTTTTAAATAACTGGTTACTTTTATTTTTCTAAAGAAATTCGGAATCAAAATTAATGGCATTTTGTAGACATAAAACAATATTATTAGTATTTCATATTATTCACTAGTACTATCCTCAATTGATGAACGTATTTGTTCATCATCACCTTCATTCATTGGGGAATGGTTATGATCATTTTCCGAGTCAGTATTGTCAATTGAACCAGATGGTTGAACTGATTGAGTTGTAGTTCGTGGAGCTTCACTTCCTTTAGGTCCATCTTTACCAGAGACTAAATGAGAAGGTTCATTACGATTTTGCATTCCTTTTAAATGTTTTTCTCCTTTCCGCCATAATGTTATTTCCTGTAAATTTATATATTTTACAGCTTTACTAGTATGAAATTTAAACTGAAATTCAGTTACATAGAATTTTTTTTTTTTGAATCTCGAAGAATATGAAAATAATAAATAAAATTTGGCCTGTTGTGAACTGTAAGTGACAATTTGTAATTTAAGCTATTTAGAAGCATTTAAATAATGTGTATATACAAAAAGCTTAAACTTATGATTTTTGATTTGATATTTAACAACAATGATTCAAAGATACAAATTTTAAAAACTTTCCGATTAAATTCTATACAGTGCAATTTTTAAATTTGAATTTTTCTTTAAATTAATTTACAATTATATGAGGTAAATATTATAAATCTATAAACAATCAATGTTTTGTTAATACATTTTGTCTAATCAAGTTTTAACTTTATTACCTATATGTAAAAATTGTATTAACTACATAAATTACAAAATATATCAAATATTGTTAAGTTTCTATGATTAATATTTATTGAAATAAAACAAAATAATAAGAATCATAGGATAAAAAAGCATTGCATTGAAAAAAATACATTGTTAAATCAATACATTTATCGCTTTGCTGAAAATCTAAAATACTAATGGCCAAATAAACATTAATTTAAATATTTAATGTTGTTTTAAATATAACACGGTAAATATTATTATTATTATTATTTTTAATGTTTTTAAATATGGATCAATAATTTGTTAACTAAATAAAAAAAGCATTGCATTGAAAAAAATACATTGTTAAATCAATACATTTATCGCTTTGCTGAAAATCTAAAATACTAATGGTCAAATAAACATTAATTTAAATATTTAATGTTGTTTTAAATATAACACGGTAAATATTATTATTATTTTTAATGATTTTAAATATGGATCAATAATTTGTTAATTAAATAAAAAAAGTTATAACATACTTGTTGTTTAAAATAGCGTCTATCTTCTTCATCCATTAAAACAAGATTTAAAAAGTATCTCACTGAAAACCTCTTGTTTACATCTCTCATAGTAGGTGTGAGATCATAACCGGCAAGAAATACTCTAATAGGAATACTTTCTCCCCTAACAGGTGCTCCATCCATTATTTCATATTTAGCTATAGTTTCGTTTTCATTAAATGTATTGGGACCTAAACAATAAAAAATATACATTTAATAACTAACTCTAATATATTTTACTTGAATAATAAAACTAATATAACATAGTTAATCTAACCAGATCCAGTAGTTTCCCTTTTAATTATTGCAATTTCCATGTGTTTTATCTTTATTCGCACTAGTAGAAAATAAATTTTACCTACAATTACATCTTTCAAGTGATATCTAAAAAATATATACATATATTAATAAATTAGAGTATAAAATTATATTTGAGTAATAACACACTTGCACTTATTGTATTCAAACTCAATATGTAAACAATCTTCAATTCCTACTTCCATTTTTATACTATTATTCATATCAGGATAAGAGGATAAAGTATGAACTATAATATCCATTTCTTTAACTATGTCATAGATTCTTCGTATGACGGTAACCCTCAAAAAGTACCTAAAAAAAAAAAAAAAAAGTATATAATCATTTATACCTTAATATTAGACATTTATTATTAAATTAATTGTTTTGTTAACTATTACACTATACCTCAGCCTCACATTAGAACCAGTGTATGTCTCATATGGTTTTTCTACATTTAAAAATTCAAAATTATATGAAGTATTCTGCAACATTTCTCCAGGCCTGGCCAGTTCCTTGACTAGTGATGTAAACTCATGATGGTTACCTCGATCATAGTACATTTCTATTTGGCCTATGAATTCAACTTTAATACCCTGATGTTCCAAACGACTGCTTGACTTTTTTAGTATTACATTAACCTATTAATAATATACATTTTTTAAATACAAGACAATAAAATGATTTTAATAATAATATGACAGTTTAATTCTTCATTCAGATAATTATGTATCATAGTAGGTCTAAATTCAATGGCATAATATGGGAGGGGGGGGGTCAAGGTATAGATTTGCACCTTTCTGATTTTATAAGAAACTCAAGGGGCTATTGAAAAAAATTATATTTTTATAATTATGAAAAAATATTATTTTGTGTAGGTACCCAAGTGCCTGTTGAAATGTACATGGTATTGTTGAAATTTAGATAGGAATACTTATTTTATAGTAATTTTGTTATTTTAAGCTGTGAGTTAACCATTTATTAACAATAAATCGTTTATGGGTCACCATTATTGTTTATTCTTCTTCTGTCAAAAGGGAAGACTCGAATATTAATTAGGAACCCATTTACAAAGATTTATTTAAGGGGACATCGTGTACAACAATAATAATATAATAATTTAATATACTTTTTTTCCAACATCATCCAACAATTTATCAACTGACACGACAAAAATTCTAAAAACAAGACTACCACTTTTTATTTTATCCAAGATTTCTAAAAACCTAAAATGACACAACCGAGATAAGTAGTTAGGTAAATACTATATATTTATTTATCTGCTCTTTTTTTGCCTATGATACTGAATTCTGAAATGACTTATCCACTTTAAATTAACTTTTTACCCTTTTAAATTGTGATTTTTACATTTTGAAAATTAATAATGTTAAAGTGGAAAAAGTTAATTAAAAATCAGCAAAACACATATAGCTCCATTAATTTAAAAATTATAGTGAATTGACCTCTTATAAAATCTAAAGGTAAGATTAATAATCTAGGCAACCTTATGGGCTTTTTACAATATTTTAATTTTAAAGCGAGTTATGAGTATTTTAAAATTTACAAACAATTTACAATTTTAAAATAATCATAGCTTGCTTTTAAATTAAAATATAATAAAAAGCAGATTATTAAACTAACGGAGATACACATGTTCGGCTGAGCTTAACATTTGCTGATACACACTTGTAAGACGGAGACAACATATGCAGGTATCTCGTCTTCTTAACTATTTATCTGATACAATTTCTGAAAACATTTGAAATTGTTTTAAAATTTACTTGAAATCGACTTTCTTAAATTTTGAAATAACTTTTTCCTATTCAACATCATTACTATTTAAAAATTCTTGATATTCAAAATGTAAAAATCGCAATTTAAAGGGGTAAAAAGTTAATTTAAATAAGTGGAAATCATTTTCAAGAAAACTTTATGGTGAATTAAAATATGTTTTTGGAATTTGCTTCCGATTACAAGGACAGTCAGTACAGATGGGAAAAGATTTTTAGGAAAAGTTTATTTTGGTAGAAAACACAGATGGATCGAATACCCTTAACTTCAAAACATTATAAATTAATGAACAATTTTACTAACCGTTATTTACCCAACATTTAAAAAATATTTATGAAAAAAGTATACAAGTAAAATAAAAAGTTATAAAAGTGTATTACTCTTCCAGATACGGTTTCTCCATCATAATATATTAAACTTTGATCTTTTTTACTGCTTTCGTCTAGTTTCTTTTTTCCATCCGGCCGATCTAACACTATTTCCAACTCCGCTGTTTGCCCAAGCCCGAAAAAAGTCTGTAACAATCATGTAAATATAATATATTATAAATAACTATGCAAAAAAAAAAAAAAACGTTTTATTCCATAAATTAGAAATTATTACAAAAGATTAATTTTAAAAATTTTAACTTATACATAGTGAAAACAATTTCTAGTCTTTTATAGTTTTATTAGATGTACCTATTAAATAAAATAGTAGGCCAAGTTTAAGGACAATACTCATGATAAGTATAAAACTATTAAGGTATAAAATTAAGGTTAAATTATTATTTTAGAAGGTATTAGAGAAGGAACAGTTAGGTCAGGTGCACACCAAAGCAGTGTGAAATGGGTGGCCAGGTTATGTCACTGGGCATGCAGTGGGTCGTGGCAGTTTTCTTTTTCACTGCATACATGTGCGCCCACCTTTAATCTACAAGACATATTTGATAATACTAAGTTTTATTAAACATGAAGATACAAAAATGTAGGTATGTTACAATTGTAGGGATATATTAAATATTAAAAAAAATATAAGAATAAGTAGAAGTTATATTTTTCATAATTTACCACAAAATAATTAAATGAAACAACCAACTACCTATAATAATTAATAATAGTAATCTATTTACTATAGAATTGCTACCCCAAATATAAATTGATTACTTTATTGATTTAATATTGTATAGAAGAGACAAGTAATGTTAAAAAATACATGTAAGCATGTAATTATTAGTTACATAAAGATAGTGTAAGAAACTCAGTTCTGGCTCAATACAGATTAATATTTGTTTACCGATTATAAGCAATGAACAATATATAGTTTCTATAGGTGTTCATAAACTTATAATATTCACTAGGTATAGCAATAAAAAGAAAACTATAAAATTCTACTAAGTGATACTGTTCTAAAGGACCTCAAAACAAAAAATGTGTGTATAACTTGCTATGTGTTGTCTCTGAAACAATTTTATAGAATTAATATTTCAGACAATCAAATTAATAAAATAGGTAGGTACCTATCGTGAATTTATAAAATAAGAAAACTGGGTGCCTAGGTATTTTGTTCAGTTAAAATTGATTTAGATTAGAGGTACTTTCTTAATAGCATTTAATTCGATTTTACCATAATACTACTAAAATACCACACATACTATGAGTTATCTTGAAAAAACACCTAATAGAATTTAAAAATAAGCACGTAGGTACTGATAAAATCGCCTAATTAGTTATAACTGAATATTCTGTTCAAGTAAAATACTCTAATTTTTAAATCAACTGTGTGTTTGGGAATATTATGTTAACATGCAGGATAGCAGAGGGTAGTAAATGCCAATTTGGAAAATAACTACCTATGAACAAAACCCAATTGGTAACCTATTATTTATGACAGTATTGTGTGCGGTAAGGCTATAGGAGGTAAATGCACGCAAAATCGGCCGAGTATGTAAAAAGATTGTAACAAATGACAGTAATATTTGACACGATCGAACACATATTTTTTGGAAGTCTGACGACTGACACGAGTGAAGATGTTGTTGGGGGAGTCGACTGCGGTCAACAAACAACAGTCGATCACCCCAAGAACGGGGGGGGGGGGGGCGGCACTCACCATTTTCGAGTTTCGTCGTCGTCGGTGGCTGGACTTATCTCTGGACGACTGGACCGCCGTCCGCGTACAAAAAAAACCGTCGACGGCGGACGGCACGCGAGGGCGAGCGTCTTGATGAGGATGACGTGCTGACGGTGTCCACCGCCCAACAGCAGAAAAACAGACCCTGTCCTCCGCCGTGCTCTATCTCAATCGGCAGACAATATCATCGTCGTGGGCATGGCTGGCTATTCCGAAAACACGCACACGACTAAATATCCGTACACCGTGTCCGGTCGATGGTTCCCGGGTGCAACGCGACGCGACACACGACGATATTCAAGAATGTAAAAGATTTGATTTTAATTTTTACTTATTATCAATCGACACACACACGACGGACGTTACAATAAAAAAAAAAAAAAAATGAAAATAATAAATCGAAAAAAAACACCCACAAACCGACGGCGGTCAATATCACAATTATTCACAATACCGCAGGTATAATAATATACATATTATTATTATTACGTATGTACATATACTTTTATAGAGTTAGGTATATAATAAATGGTGCGTGCGTATTATGTACATACGCATAATATATACGATATATATATTATAACGTTATGTGTGCGGATTAGAATACGGTGGTCATATTATAAGTAATAAGTTTATAAGTATGATAATATCACGTACATAGAAGAAACTATGTGTTGGTAATGTTTCGACTTTTCGAGATAAGTTTTTATTCGCAGTGACAGACGGGATATGCAAGCGCCCAGTGCAGCCACGTCACACGGGCCAACGGACGGGGAGAACGTATACGTCACGGCAGACGGTATTTTTTTTATTGGAACATAATATAGGTAGTAACTTACTAACATGGGTATTATACATATTTTATACCCATGTATTATGTAATGTAACTATGCCACTATAATAACTTATTTTATAGTTATTTAATAAATGATATAGGTATAATCGTAATAATTAGGAACCTACCTATTAAGTATTAATTATTTGATTATAGATAGGTATCGATTTTCAGTTCTCCCTCGTACCGCGCACGCATTAAAATAATGATTACCATCGACTAGTGTCGACTATCAGGTGGATTTTTAAAATGGAGCAGATGTTAGATAGGCTGGAGGAACTGGAAACAACATTCGAGCCAACAATCACTACTCTCAGCGAGAGCGTAGAACGCCTGGAACGAGAGTTTGCCGAAGAAAAGCTTAGATCTACCGAACAGGTGGTGCAAGCAAGGTGCACGTGCAGTGAGAACTCCCCCTGAAACCAGCGTCATATCCAGTGGTCGAAGTGGGGGGGGATACGGAGGGATGACATCCCTCTACTTTTTTGTATTTACATTTTTCATCCCTCTACTTATTTTGTCTACAATAACGCATTCCTCCTAAGACTTGTGTTTTAAAATGAAATAATTATTATGATTTTTATATTTATACCTATGTATAAGAAAACTTTTTATTTTTCGTATAGGCCGTTTGCCCGTTTCGCAATCATATTATCTATACCCGTATTTAGAGCCACGGATTAAGAATTTACATATACCTTAGTCGTGTTTAGAGCTAATAACATAATATTTTAATATCACAAAACAATAACAATATTGATGATAATAAGTCCACAGAAAAATATTATAAATAAAATATTTTATCAGTTTTTTTTGAAAAATTTGAAAATATGTTATTTATTTGTTTAGTTTTAAAGATTATTTATGATCGAAAAAGATTGTAGTATTCTGATGCATAAACAAAATGTGAACTATAAAAAAAAAATACTATACAAGGTATGAAGAATGTTATGATGATATCAGGAAATCTGAATTGTAAGGCATCCCTCCACTTATCTTGAGCCATTTCGACCACTGGTCATATCCGAGGCAATTCTAAATCGCCCGGGCGAAAGCCAAAATCTTCCGGTCAAAACTCGAGGCGTGAGTTTTCTAATATTCTGTAATTCGGTCTGGACCAGAGATCATTCAGTGTGGAGCCATCCAGCCTAAGGAGGAGGACGGAAATGTGACATTGCAAGATGTTCGAGAGTGGGAACTGAATGACCCGAACATTATAAGGGAGATAGTTGCCGAACTCGAACTCGTACACAAAATATTTTATCATGTACGGATTGTACCCACAAATTAAATCAACCATAATTACTATTATATTTTAAGTTTTCGTATTACCTATTCAAAATTTTAACTTTTAAGTCTATGTAACTATATTTACAATAAATTTAGATGATTTATTATTCTAGACTCTGAACGGAGCGATGAATGTATTGATTTTACAATGATGAGTGTTATTTATTTTTTATTTATTTTTTTATTTTAGTGTCTGTGTACACGATTATAGTACCTAGTCGAAATAATGCTTCGATTTTCAACTTCAGATCTTGTTCGATGGCAAAGCGAATCTAGTTGGTACTTTTGGGAGATCAAAATTTAAAATTCCCAAAAGTTTTCAAAAGCGCCCGGAAAAACAAAAGAAAAATTAAAACGGGAATTTTTAAGCAAAATAGGTTTTTGACAAATTTGATTTTGGGTTTTGGTGTAGGTAACTCTAAAACAAATGACCTTAGGAACATGAAATTTTCACTAAATGTTTATATTAGCATTTTTTATAAATATTTTGACTTATTTTGAGATGTTTACGGACATTTTCTGTTTCCATTTTGTTTAGTTGTTTTTTCTATAAATATCAATAAAATTTTATTTGTTGGTTAAAAAAGCTTGAAAATTTAATAGAAGGCTCCTAGTATATTGTTTCAAAGGAACATGAAAAAAATTAAAAATCCGTAGTCACAGTTTTTTTTATAAGCATTTAAAGTTCAAATATTAACAAAATACGTAAAAATGACGAAAATTTGCAAATTATTTTGATTTAGAAATTCATAAATAATTTTCTTTTTAAATCTAAGATTTTAAAATGTAATACAAGTTTCCTTATAAGATTATCTACCTTTATGAAAAAAAAAATGTCTATAAAAAAGTCAAATTACATTTTAATGAGAGTTTGAAATTCAAATTTTTACAACATTAGATATTCACTCGATTTCTATCATTTAGCGATTTTCTTATTTTGTTGTAATTCAAAAATGAATAACTGTAGATACATGAAAAATATACTGAATGTTTATTTTATCAATTCTTTTACTTGATAAAATGTTCAAAATATTTTGACTTGTTTTGAGCTGTTTACGGACAATTTCATATTTCAATTTTTTTTATTTTTTTTTTTATAATAATATCAATAAAGTTTTATCTGTTGGGCCAAAAAGTGTAAAAATGTAATACAAGACTCCCTGGTATATTGTTACAATAGTAGTTGAAAAATATTAAAAAGACATACGCACAATTTTTTTTTATAGTAATTTTAATTTTATAGTAACAGTTGTGTACTGCCGTCTATCGTGGAAGGTTGTACTGTTCGATAACAATATTTATATGCTCTCTTATCTCCGTTTTCATTCGCAAAGTACCTAACTAACTATCTATACGAAATACGTAATGTTGTGTTTTATTTGCATTGAAGACATTCCTCAGGGCGATGACATCAAGTGTTCTAAATGCAACGAGTCTTTACATTTCAGTTGCGCAGGCCTCCGAGATGCGAATTTTAAAAAAATGTCGGTCGCTCAAAAAAAAATATGGACCTGCTCAAAGTGCAAAACAAAAAAGTTGGTAGTGACTCCTGTCATGCCGGGAAAATCTCAAACAGTCACTGATGAAACACTGAAAAGTGTTGTTGATTCGGTGAACTTTTTGAGTTCTCAGTTTGGTGATTTTAATAATCAGTTAAAGCATTTGTTCTCAACTATAAATGATTTAAAGTGTGAAAACAAAAGAAGAAAATCTATTTTTAAAGAAGGAAACCGAAAATTTGTCGGGGCGTTTAAATAAACTTGAACAAAAAACTTTAGAGTGTCAGATAGAAATTGTAGGTGTACCCGAGACTAAAAATGAAATTTGTTCAAACACTATTCAAACTATTATAAACAAACTGGGTACTGATGTTACGGCTCAAAACGCTTTTCGACTACATTCAAAATTTCCGGATAAACCAAGAATTTTATCTGTGTGTTTTAACACGGTGAATGAAAAAATCAAAGTTATGGAATTAGCGAAAAAACATAAACTAGTTGCAAAAGACTTGGACCCAACTTGGAACGAATCTCTGTATATTTCAACGACAAAATGACCTATACATACAGAAATCTATTTTTCAAAGCGAGAACTGCAGCTAAACAGGTTGGTTACAAATATATTTGGTTCAAAAACAACACAATTTTCGCTAAAAAAAATGATACTTCAAAGCCAATTATTATTGATGATGAAATATCTATATCTAAAATTGTATAACTTTGAGTTTATTTTATTTATTTTAGTTTTTCTTTTCTCCAAATGACTGATATAATTATTGATGTAATTGAAAAATTTAATAATTATAACACTAGATATTTTGATTCAGTAACTGACTTTGTAAATAATTTTAATCTTAATAACAACGAAACCAACTTTTTTTAATGTAATGTGTACTAACATACGTAGTGTAAATGCAAATTTTGACGAACTCCTGTTATATTTAGAAAATGACTATAATTATAAAAAAATTGACATTCTCATTTTAACTGAAACATGGCATAGTGTGGAAAACTGCGTGTTTACAATACCCGGTTATAACACATATTGTTCATCCACTAAACGAAACCAAAATGATGGGGTAATAGTGTTCATAAAATGTGCCATATCGGTAATTTTATATGAATTTGGTTCTGTAGATAGCAACATCTTAAAACTGTCACTATGTATTAATAATACGCCTTTGGTATTTTACTGCGTTTATAGATCGCCTGCAAGTAACACTAACGATTTTATCGTAAACTTACGTAATATTTTTGATAAAGAAATTTCAGATAAGGGCTATTCCTTCTTAATTGGAGATATGAACATAAATATTATAGAGAATACAAATAATGACTATTTAGACATGTTAGCCGAACATGGTTATAAATCATATATAAACATATATACTAGATTACCTCCAAAAAGAAATTACTCGTGTTTGGATCATATTTTTATTAAAACTCAACAATCTAATTTAAATTTAATTAAAGCAGGTGTTATACAATCACATATCACTGACCATTTCTCTATTTTTGCAGCAGTACCAATATCTAGTCATGTTATTTCTGATACTAAAATTATAAAAAAGAGTGTCAACTACGACCTCTTATGCAGTTATTTAAGACAAGAAAATTGGTCTGATTTGAATAGTATTTTAAATATTAATGAACAAGTTGATATATTTTATGCAAAGTTATTGAAGCATATTGAAAACTCTAGCTACGAAATTAAGATTAATTCAAAAAATAAATTCATTAAAGAATGGATGACTAAGGGACTGTTAATTTCGGCACGTCGTAAAAATGATATTTCTAAAATGGTTAAAAAACATCCTAATAATGCAAATTTACGTGCTTATTTCATTAAATATCGTAATAATTTTACTTCAATTCTAAGAGCAAGGAAAATACATTTTTACAAATCAAAATTTTCTAGTGCAATTACTAATCCTAAACTAACTTGGAAACTAATAAACAATTTAACAGAAGCCAAAAATAACTCAAACAATGAGACATTCAAAAATAATATTGAAAATAATGGCCAAACAATTAACCCACAAAAAGATCCCTCCAATATAGCAAGTATTTTTAATTCTTTCTTCTTAAGCGTTGGTAAAGACCTAGCAGTAAATTTCAATAACAGTTTGTTTAATTATGTTGTCAAAGTACCAAGTTGTTCTTTTAATCAGCTCTTTCTAAAAAAGATTGAAAAAACTGAGGTCCTAAATATTATAAAAAATTTCAAAGACAAAACTGCAGCTGGTTTTGACAAATTTTCAGTTAGACTTTTAAAGCACATAGCTCCGTATATTGTAGACCCTCTTATCTATATACTAAATGTATGCCTCAAAAAGGGCGAATTTCCAGATAAATTTAAACTCGCAATTGTCAAACCACTTTATAAAACAGGTGATACAAAAAATGTGACAAACTATAGACCGATATCCATGCTATGCAACTTTTCAAAAATTTTCGAAAAAATAATTAAACTTAGACTTATAACTTTCTTAGAAGCTAATGAATTATTATCGAAAAATCAATTTGGTTTTCGACCTGGTAGAAGTACGACTGGAGCGCTCTATGCGACATCAACATTTTTATATAACGAATTAGACAATAACAAAAAAGTAATTGCAGTTTTCTTAGATCTAGCGAAAGCATTTGACACAGTAAATCACGATGTACTTCTTAAAATGTTGCCAAATTTTGGAATATCAAATGAAAGTCTTATGTGGTTCAAAAGCTATCTAAAAAACCGAAAACAAGTAGTTTCGATAAATGGCATTAATAGCTTTGAGGGTGAAATCGATTACGGTGTACCGCAGGGCAGTGTATTAGGACCCCTTTTATTCATTCTTTATATAAATAACATCTGTAACCTATGTATTGACGGTCAAGTAATAACCTATGCAGATGACACCTGCCTACTTTTTTCCGGGAACACATGGGAAGACGTTCATCAAAAATCAACTGTTGGAGTAAATAATGTTTTTAAAGAACTGAATAATAATAAGTTGACTTTGAATATAAGGAAAAGTGTTTTCATTGCTTTCTCAATTTATAATACGTACATACCGTTCAATAATATTATTATTCACTCTTGTAAAAATCGAGATTTAAATTTAAATTTATGTAATTGCCAAAAAATAAGTAGGGTATAGATAGTTAAATATTTGGGTCTTATTTTCGACTGGAATCTACGGTGGAAATTTCATATTGAAAATGTGGTTATGAGATTAAGATCTGTTATTTGCAAATTTTTCAAACTTAATAAACTCTTACCAACTGAAACAATGTATACTGTATATAATGCACTCTATAAGTCGATTTTCCAATACGGTCTTTTAGTATGGGGTGGGTGTTCTGATAATGCTATAAAACCTCTTGTGATTCAACAGAATCATGCAGTAAGATTATGTCTAAGGAAAAAGGAGCTCTATGGCTCGACTTCCGTAAACTATAAAGAATTTAGAGTTCTACCGGTTAGTTATTTATATAGGCAATTTTCTATTTTATTTAAAGCAGGTAAAATTAATACTACCGAAAACGTCAATAAAAGGGAACATAAAAGGGGCTTACGATCTGCAGGTTAGTTACACAAAAAAAAATATAGGTAATAAGTTCGTAGATTATTTAGGTTCAATTAATTTTAATGCTATGCCACTTGAGCTGAAAAAAAATATTGTTAATAATGTATATAAAAATAATTATGTATTTAAGAAAAAAACTATTGTAAACTGGTTGTTACTGAATCTTTAACTGTTAATTGTATGCTATTATGAATTAAGTTATATAGATATTGTAATTAAATGTATTTAATAGTTTTTATTTGTAAACTAACAACTCATTTACCTCGCCACAAGCTATGCTTAATGGGGTAAATTAAATAACTAATGTATTTATTGTAACTATATTATTTATTCAATAAAAAAAAAAAAAAAAAAAAAAAAAAAATTTAAGTTCAAATTTGGACGAAATTACATATGAAAAAACCTATTGAATAACTATTTAGTTATTTTGTTGTATAATATTATTAGTGGGTACTTGATGCTTATAAAGTATACTATACTATACTTTAGTATACCTACTATACTTTATATATCTATGATAGTACCACGATTTGTTGACTGTTGTTGATGTATATAAGTACCTAATTGGATATTCTTATATGATTAATTTGGAATTTATTATAGGTAAATTTTTTTTTAATACCGTAGATAAGTGTATAATATAATGTCTTATACCTAGACTGAAAATTTGATATCATAATTTTAGATGCCTTCAAGCTCAGAAGAATGGAAAAAAATAGCTTTTGATTACAATAAAATATGGAATTTTCCTCAATGCTATGGACGGAAAACATGTTGTTATTGAAGCACCAATACTAAGTGGAAGTGATTTTTATAACTATAAAGGCACATTTTGCATTGTACTATTTGCTATTGTAGATCCTAACTATAATTTTATTTACGTTAATGTTGGTTGTCAAGGTCGTATATCGGACGGAGGAGTATTTAAAAGTACTGGATTCCAAAAGCTCATGGAAAATTCTACTTTGAACCTTCTAGATAAAAGAGCGCTACCAGGTCGGGACAAATTGAGCCCATATGTTTTCGTAGCTTATGATGCCGTTCCTCTTTCACCCAATATTATAATGAAACCCTATAGCTGACATCAGCCTAAAGCTTCGAAAAAATCGTATAATTCAATTACCATCTCAGTCGTGCTAGGAGAGTTGTAGAAACGTATTTGGTATAATGGCGTCAATATTTAGAGTATTTCGAAAACCTATGCTACTGCAACCGGAAAAAGTTGATAAAATAGTATTGGCTTGTGTTCATCTTCATAATTCTTTGAGAAAACATTCTTCGAAAATCACATACAACCCACCAGGTACATTTGATTCAGAACAGTTAGATAGTGGAACAGTAGAAACAGGATCTTGGAGAAGAGAACATCAGAATTTACAATCCTTTTTACCTATTCATCAAGTTCGCCGAAAGTCATCGATCGAAGCTGCAGAAGTTAGAGTCGAATTTAGTGAATACTTCATCTCACATGAAGGTGAAGTTCCATGGCAATTAAACTATTGCTAATTTTGAAAACACTATTATTAACGTGCACGATCATGTAATAGTGTTCGAAAAACGTTTCCCAGCCAGCTCCCTTACCCGGAAACGTTGTTGCCCCTAGCGATTTGTCACCCGTTAAGTATTGGTGGCATTTAATCGCGGCGAAATGGAGTGCCGAAAGAGGAGCCTGTGATAATATATGGAATAGAAAAATATAATTATTATCAAAACGTTATAATAATTAATAAAACAAATATTAGTTAAAAATTAATATTCAAATAATATTATACAAAATCACATCTCACACTTATAAGTTATAAATTATAATGTATGTACAAGAAACACAATTTTTATACAAATTTATTCAATATTAGATTCTGAGCAGAGCGATGAATGTATTGATTTTACAATAATGTGTGATTTTATATTTTTATAGTGCATGTGCATGGGAAAAACACAAGCGTTTCCAGTCGCCGTCACCACCAACGAAACTCCATTCGACTCGAGCAAAACGTATATTATGTGAAAACGCATGGAACTTACATATCACTCAAGTGACCGACACATATTATATATATTTTATCAGCGCATACTTACAACAGTCATATCACTTGTATAATATTTGTATTTTACCGTGTGTATACACACACACAGGCATATCACCTCCGCTATATATCATTGTATAAGTTATAATATCGGAAAATTAAGAACTATTAACAATATCTCTCATTTCAATAGATAGGTACTATATATACGGTTTATTACAAAAATCTCGAAATAGGTATCTACACAATAATTAACGTTGCATCTGTAGTATTATATAGTAACATCTTTATCAATAAAACATTTATAAATCTTCATGTTATTAGTCAATTTCCATACAGACTCATGCTACAATGAGCATATAGGTGGGAACGTACATATATATATATATACAATACTATTAGGCCAACCTATCATGAATAATATTACAGATACTTACTTATATTTTTAATCAATCGTATATACATTGAAATATTGTATATGAGATTACATTAGACTAAAATCATAGCTTATATATACATACATGGATTATAGGTATTTAAGAGAAAAAATAAATCTCTTACTGTTATTATTGTACTATTATTCGTCAAGTGCAGTGAGAATTAAGTAAAAAATATTATAATCGAGCCACTACCTATTTCTACAGTTATACCACACAGATCTTGATAAACAAAAAAAAATATATCTTAATGAGACGGATACGTAAATATTAAAAATCTCACAAAAATGTATAATGTCAACAGTCTACATAACCGATATAAATATACGTTTTTTTTTTCTTTTTGTATTCAACTTTAATCTTAATAATTGATACACGAATTTATATAACAAAATCATATTTTCACTGAAAATATATACAAACTTCATATTAAAAATTAGCAGATTTTCAAATAAAAATCATATTAGATGCATCTATATTATGCATTTATTCAAATATAAACTATTTACAAATGTTGTAATTTCAATAAAACACATGTACCTAATCATTATCATTTATATTATCATATACTGTTATACATAATATATTCCCTATGTACAGTTAGGTTACATGTGTTCCAATTCAATAAAACACATGTAACCTAACTAATATGATTTTTATTTGAAAATCTGGTAATTTTTAATATGAAGTTTGTATATATTTTCAGTGAAAATATGATTTTGTTATATATATTCGTGTATCAATTATTTAGATAAAAGTTGAATACAAAAAGAAAAAAAAACGTATATTTATATCGGTTATGTAGACTCTTGACATCATACATTTTTGTGAGATTTTTAATATTTACGTATCCGACTCATTAAGATATATTTTTTTTTTGTTTATCAAGATCTGAGTGGTATCCATATACGTTGAGGTATACATATGTTTATTTTTGCGAACAATGTGTTTATATTTACGATCAATAGGCTGATATTTACGATCAAAATGGTAATATTTATGGCAACTATAGAAATATAATATTTATCACATGGATACATCTAATAGGATTTTTATTTGAAAATCTGCTAGTTTTAATATTAATTTGAAGTTAGTGTATATTTTCATTGAAAATATGATATTATTATACAAATATGTGTACTTATCAATTATTTAGAGTAAAGTCGAGTACAATAAAAGCTATATTTATATCAGCGTTGTAGACTGGTAAAATTATAAATTTTTGTGATATCTTTATTTATTTCGTATTGTCTTATTAAGATAGTTTTATCAAGATATATATAGTGTCTATATGTGTTGGAGTAAAAAATATGTTTATATTTACGATCAGTATGTTGATACTTACAACGAATATAGAAATATAATAGTATGAATATATATTATACCTATATAAAATCAAGCTATGATATGGTAATATATATCCTAACTTGTGATGGTTACATACATGTGCTTTACATTATTTATAAAGTAAAAAGAATAATGTATAAAATATTTATGTATCTAGTCGAAAAACTTAAAAATAAATTCCTAGTATTTTGTGTTAAATGAGTGTTAAGTGATGCATATAAGATATAATCTGTACCAACCCACCTATCATATGATTTATTATAATATAAGCGATAGGGTATGGTTCAGCATAAATACTCTCATATATTTAACGATAATTGGAGACAAATATACGATTTCTATGTTACATTGATGGAATATCACAAAAAAAAAAAAATATATATAGTGATCTTATATTTAATCTAAAAATCAATGCTTTATTTTTGACCGACGTGTTAATGTGTTATAGGTTTGTGTATTTTGATACAGGTATAGTGATGAAAATCAGTGAAAATTTTAATGATAGTATGGGTGTTATTTTATATAGCTGATGAGTGTGGCTCTATGAATACAAATTTTATGATATTTAAACAAAAATAATAACTTCTAGCAAAGGTATTTACGAATGTACTGGTTTTTAAAGGTAAAATATATTAGTTATATATATATATATATATTTTTACAGTGAGATTATGATAATTACAATTGAACACATTTTTATTGAACTTATGAAAATATGTGTACATGTTTTAACATAATATAATGTATGAGTCATAAAACTAGATATAATATCATATTATAGTGTAGATTGAAGAGAAGTAAGTCGACTATTTAGAACTGAAATATTTCTGTTATAGTGTATAGATGCATTTAATATCTAACGCGATATGATTGATGGATTGATTTACAAACTATAGTTATATGTCATTATTAAGAATTTCAATATTTTAGACATGATCTTGACATAGAAATTATATTTGTATAAGATTTTATCAAAATTATAATATTATCATAATTTGGGAGAAATTAGCATATTTTTACCGATTTTCCTGAAAAATCATGATTTTTTCAAATATATTCTCAAGCTTGTGATGGCAATATACAAGTGAGTTCATCATTATTTTACAAAGTATATGGAATAATACATGAAAAGTATAAGTAATAAGCATCCATGTAGTATATAACTGTACAAATAATACATTCCTATAATGTTGTACAAAATAAATGCTGGGCTATGTGTATAAGATATGCATTAAAAGTAATTTAAATATATATGGTTTTCTATATATGAAATCATTAAGTGGAAAATTATCACTGCTTAACGTACCTACATTTTATTTTGTTTTTGCTAATATGTGATGAAGACAACTATATAATAGTATGCTTTTTATTATTAATATCATGGAATTTAAATATGAATTTGTTTCATCTTTGAAATAAATACGGTTTTTCATGTAATGCTTTTAAGAAATAAATTTAAGGCATAAATTCTACCTACGTATTTAACGAAAAAATGAGTAAATTATATATGAGTAGGTCCTATATTGCATTTAATTGCTGTATATTGGACAGCGTTGTATCAGTATGCATGTCTACGTTGTGATATATTTTATGTATCAATTGTTAATATATAATAATTAATATATGTTTAAGAAATTAGGTATCAAATAAATTATATATCGAAAATATTTTGTGTAAATTATTATTTGGAATAATAGATCGAGTCTATATGTATGCATGAATGCTGTTTAATTAAATATATATCTATGTACGTATGTATGTATGAATACTGTTTAATTATATAAGAATATGTAAGGTTATATTGAGGTGTATATATGAATGTTTATATGCTCTTTATATATTTATGTAATCCATATAATATGTTTAGGTGTTTGTAATGTCGAAAATACATATCGGTATATGATGTTTTAATGTGGGTTTGCATATCGTACTATGTTTCACATGTTCATGTAACTGTAGAAATAGGTGGTGGCTCGATTATAATATTTTTTACTTAATTCTCACTGCACTTGACGAATAATAGTACAATAATAACAGTAAGAGATTTATTTTTTCTCTTAAATACCTATAATCCATGTATGTATATATAAGCTATGATTTTAGTCTAATGTAATCTCATACAATATTTCAATGTATATATGATTGATTAAAAATATAAGTAAGTATCTGTAATATTATTCATGATAGGTTGGCCTAATAGTATTGTATATATATATATATGTACGTTCCCACCTATATGCTCATTGTAGCATGAGTCTGTATGGAAATTGACTAATAACATGAAGATTTATAAATGTTTTATTGATAAAGATGTTACTATAATACTACAGATGCAACGTTAATTATTGTGTAGGTAATTATTTCGAGATTTTTGTAATAAACCGTATAAAGTACCTATCTATTGAAATGAGAGATATTGTTAATAGTTCTTAATTTTCCGATATTATAACTTATACAATGATATATAGCGGAGGTGATATGCCTGTGTGTGTGTATACACACGGTAAAATACAAATATTATACAAGTGATATGACTGTTGTAAGTATGCGCTGATAAAATATATATAATATGTGTCGGTCACTTGAGTGATATGTAAGTTCCATGCGTTTTCACATAATATACGTTTTGCTCGAGTCGAATGGAGTTTCGTTGGTGGTGACGGCGACTGGAAACGCTTGTGTTTTTCCCATGCACATGCACTATAAAAATATAAAATCACACATTATTGTAAAATCAATACATTCATCGCTCTGCTCAGAATCTAATATTGAATAAATTTGTATAAAAATTGTGTTTCTTGTACATACATTATAATTTATAACTTATAAGTGTGAGATGTGATTTTGTATAATATTATTTGAATATTAATTTTTAACTAATATTTGTTTTATTAATTATTATAACGTTTTGATAATAATTATATTTTTCTATTCCATATATTATCACAGGCTCCTCTTTCGGCACTCCATTTCGCCGCGATTAAATGCCACCAATACTTAACGGGTGACAAATCGCTAGGGGCAACAACGTTTCCGGGTAAGGGAGCTGGCTGGATGCGGCGTAGTACAAAAGTGGACAAGGCGCAGCAACAGCAAAAGCAACAACAGGTGAACGACAAAGTCAGCGACCGTGAAGACGCCGACGACGTCTATACCGCGATTAGGCGATCTTTGGTGTCGGTAGTAACCGCGGCCGTGACGTCCGGCTCTCTCAAACTGCGACCCAACTGTTTGGAACTGTTCCGTGGTACGTTTGTGTTGGGTGAACCCGGACGTTGTGGTCAACCGGTTCCCTAGGAACTCGAACGCCGCGTTGAAATTGTGTGTCCACTTTTTTATTACCAGCTTATAGGTGGCCAATCGTATTTTAAACATGAATTTATTTTCACTCACACTCACAAATTCATCACAAAAACTCACGGCCCAAACTTCAAGTGGCTCACCGAGATTTTCTCGGTAGCTCGCCTAACCAATCCGGCCCTGGTCACGTCTCATATCTAAAACAGTGCATCCCAAACGGCTCCCGTCCATTGTCCATTGCTTCCGTCGAAAAGGTTTTACAAACAAGTAAATTCTCATAAGGCTCAGTGGCGGCGCCAGGGGTGGGCCAGGGTGGGCCCGGGCCCACCTTAAAAAGTCTCCGGCCCCCCCTGTGGCCCACCCCAAAAATTAAATTTAATCATATTAGAATACTAAAAAATATCTCATGAATAAATCATGATTTATTAAAATATGAAAATATTAAGTCATAATAGATGCCGTGAACAACATTTTGAATGGGTTGAAAACTATATGCACAATAATATGCTTTCAAGCCTCATAAATGACGTGTATTTTCCAGCGGCTGAATACGAAAATAATAATAATTATTAAATATTCATTGGTATTGAGTGTAATTATGGGTTAGGGAGCATAAAAATCAAAAAGTGTTTACATGAATATATATTTTGTTAGCAAATAAATACTTTTAATACAATACATATCATGTTTACAAATCATTGTTTTAGTAAGTTTACACGATGAAGTGTAAAAAAAATTGGAAGTTGACCTTCCCCCTCACCCCTCTGCGAAATTGCCTGTCATCACTATTGTTTATATATATATATATCAAGTCAACAATTTGGCCCTCCCTAAAAAATTTGGGCCCCAGCCTGGCCCACCTGGTATTAAAGTTCTGGCGCCGCCACTGATAAGGCTCCCATCGAAAAAGGTATATTACGAACAGGTTGATATACCGTATAACGTTGTATAATTCAAATTTAAATGGAAAAAATATATATATGAATTTATTATAAATAGAAAAAAATAGGGGCTCGTTGGAAACATCATTGACCAATGTTTATAAGTACTTGTAACTCAAATAAAGATACCTATTCCCCTCTATAGGCTATAGGTATTAGGCATACATTAATTATTATAAGTCCTCACTCCTCATTCGGAGTCGGTAAAACGACTGATTTATTAAGTGCTATTTATCATTTTAATATTTATATTATATTTGTTAAATCTGTTTGTGTCCTATGTTTAGATCCCACCGTAATATTATCGTTACACAGCAATGCCGAACGCGGTTAAGGCGGTCGTCAAGCGTTACGAGTCCGGTCTGGTGTGGATGGACGAGTACAGCGGCGGCGTCAACTGGTTGACGCTGCACCCGGACGTTGTGGTCAACCGGTTCCCTAGGAACTCGAACGCCGCGTTGAAATTGTGTGGCCACTCTTTGGCTGGGAAATCTGAGTTCGACGTCCACTTCCCGAGGGCGTACCCAGTAAGCACCGGCGGGATACACGTGGACAGCTTCATCGCGGACTACTCGTTAACCGCTTGCGTATATTACAGTATATAACAAAATTTTTATTATTTTTATTATTTCATTATGATACAAATATTGTCAGCGTAATAAATGTTAGATTTGTTGATCATCTACAAAACATGTTTGTCAATGTTACTATTAGAATTTTTTCAGTGGGCGTTGTGCTATCTGACGGCGTCTAGTATACTGATCGTGAACCAGATGACGGCGGCGAGGCCACAGACGACGATGGACGGCTACGAGAACATTTGGATAATCAAGGATACGGTGGGCCGAAACCGGCCGGTGATGTTGAACAAGATCAGTGACGTGCTAGACCGTTGCGCACGGAAGGGTAAAGACGACCGTATCGTGCAGAAATACATCGAGACGCCGCTGTTGCGCGACAACGTCAAGTCGGACGTGCACACGTGGATCGTGCTATCGACGATTGATGGCAAGCTGACGGTGTGGCTGCACCGGATGTGCGCAGTGCAACCGTACCAGCACAGATTCTCGCTGTACCAGAACTCCGACAGGTCCGGGCACTTCAATCGGCTCAAATCAGCTAGGAAGGCTGCACGGGATGGTGCTGTCGACGGCCCTGATTTGCAGCCTCAAACAGCTTGAGGCAAGGATGCGGCGTAGTACAAAAATGGACAAGGCGCAGCAACAGCAAAAGCAACAACAGGTGAACGACAAAGTCAGCGACCGTGATGACGCCGACGACGTCTATACCGCGATTAGGCGATCTGTGGTGTCGGTAGTAACCGCGGCCGTGACGTCCGGCTCTCTCAAACTGCGACCCAACTGTTTGGAACTGTTTCGTGGTACGTTTGTGTTGGGTGAAAACTTAAGGCCGTGGCTGATAGACATCGTGTCGGATGACCCGTGTCTAGCCGCCGACTGCAAAGAACGTGACCGGGTGGCGCCTGCGGCTACCCGCGTAGCCCGGAGCGCAGTCCAGGGCATCGGTATGATGCTGGTCGATAGAAGTCGTGGTCGGGCGTGGCTTGTGCCGCTTGTGGGTCCTGCTGGTCAGCATCTTGGACGCGGTGAACAGTTGCGGTGCGTACGATTCGGCGCCGGCTGGCATCGGGCACTCATGGATCATGTCGAACATGCCAATCCGGGTAACCCCGACCTCGACTTCTATCGACCAGAGTAGGATGATTATGTATGTTCTGGAGCACCTCCCCCTTAAATTTTACATGTAAAAACATAGACACTTCTGTATAGGCAATTCGAAGTACACGCACCTCCCAAACTTGTATTAATTACTCAATATAGGCAACCCGCAACACATATAAACTCGTCGCACGACACCCGATCCGACACGTGACCGACATATATTTTATGCCTTCCCCTTCAAATACATTACCTCCCCTTTTATTTACCCCTTAAAAATAAATATATATAATCTTCTAATTCACATTTGTATCGACTATATCGAACTCTTGTCCGACATATATTTTACCCCTTCCTAATCAAATACATTACCTACCTACCCTTTTAAAAAATAAAAATATAATATTCTGATGTACATTTGTATCGACTATATAATACATACATACATGCTCATAATATCATATAAGGTAACAACATAACACATATCTAAAAATATTATACCATTTTCAGATTATAATCCCATTCGAATAAACATCTCGCTAAAGCATACACCGGAATGTATCTCAAATATATTATAATATACTATGAAACACACGATACCATACGGTACTCATCAGTTGTCATTCTGAACACACGCTTAACATAATATATATACAGTTTGTCCCAAAAGTCCCGTATCACCCTTAATATGTCCATGTAAAATCACTATATTTAAACGCGGTTTTTTTTACAGCACTAAGTATGAAAATTCTGATTGAATGGCATAAAATTAATTTATTTTTTTCTTTAAATTCAAAAATTTTCAAAAAATTATTTACGCATTTAAGAATTTAAAATTTTTAAGATAGCCATTTTGTTGAGCATATTTTTTAAAACAGTAAAAAAAAAAAAATACTAAAATTAAATAAAAATTGACCAAGTTAGAGCAAGTTATGTTTTTGAATAATTGTAGTAAAAAAATAAATTAGGAATGTAAAAGTATTGTCGTGTGCTGAAATTAGATATTTCATTATTGAAATGTGAAACAATAATTTATTTTTTTACTACAATTATTCAAAAACATAACTTGCTCTAACTTGGTCAATTTTTATTTAATTTTAGTATTTTTTTTTTTGAACTGTTTTAAAAAATATGCTCAACAAAATGGCTATCTTAAAAATTTTAAATTCTTAAATGCATAAAAATTTTTTTGAAAATTTTTGAATTTAAAGAAAAAAATTAATTAATTTTATGCCATTGAATCAGAATTTTCATACTTAGTACTGTAAAAAAACCCGCGTTTAAATATAGTGATTTTACATGGAGATATTAAGGGTGATACGGGACTTTTGGGACATACTGTATATTATATACCTTATCATACACACACACACCCACACACACACACGTACGATTCCAGTATTCTATATAGTACACAAACAAGCCACCCAGTCCTTTATTCATTCAATTACATATGAACTCTCATACACATACATATTATATACATACATACATACATACATACATACATACATACATACATACATACATACATACATTATACATACATACAAACATACATAAAAATAGTATACAATATTTTTCTTATTATATAATTACCTACATACGAAAAAACGAATCGCTAAAGCATACTAATATTTAGATACTCACATATTATATACATATTTGTATAATATTCTGAGCACCTTTTTACAGGGAAGTTTCATCAGTTTAAGCGTTGTGTTCCACCGTGTAACACAACATTTCAAAAAGTATTATTACATTCATTATAACAAACAACTAAACATACTATAACACTTACATATTATTGTATTATATATAATCATTTATTCCCATTTCCCATACAGGGCACATATATAGAGAATTCATACATAAATAGGTACTTTCATATTATATACACCATCACACACATCTTATCTTGTTATATAACTTACATATCAATATAAGACACTTTGTTACATATAGACACACTCATACATGAAATACATACTTTAAAATACTTAGTCACATTTACATAGATGCATTTAAACATTCCAATACATCCACCCTAAAAAGTATTTTCAAAAGTACAACATATCGCTCATCAATTGGTTATACGTACTACTACAAAACTGTTATGCCCAATAATCATCTAAATAGTTCTATTCTATTAGATGAGACCATATAGTACCTAAGCTTAAACACGCATATAATAGAAAAATATCTCAATAAAAATAGGTAGATCTACCTATATTTTATTCAGCTCAGAGGATTACTCGAGAACATACACAACATTATATATTTATGACACACAATATTATATATTTATATAACTAGTAGGTATATACAGACTAAGGAAAATAGAGGATATCGACTCTGAGAGTCTCAGACGTCGTCTTCGAGATAGTTTGATCACTAAATGCAAAAATAAAACTATCATATTTTGACTTCACCGACCACCGTTGATACAGTACATTTCATGTTAGAATTACAACATTTATTTTATTAAATTTGAATTACACACAAATATGCTTATGCATCCTTACTTTTCATTTTAACCATATCCACTAGTCTATATTATATTTACCTAAACTCGCCTTATATTATATATTAAGGAATTATTATTTCCAAAATATTTACTTTTTAGTATAGAGTTGTATATAGTATATATTATTAGATATTACACCATATAACCACAGAATAGATTAAATCTTACATATCACTACCGACATATACATATTTTAACTCATGCATGTGCATGGGAAAAACTATAGTGATGTAAATTTGTATAATAAAAATGTATAAAATCGTATTATACTGGTATTATACACGCTGTATAAAATTATTTTATTCAATGGTATAAAATCTGTATAAAACTTTTTTTCGCTAAGTGGTTAAAATAAGAGGTTTTTCTTATCTTTTTTTTTTTTGTAACAACCGTTAACTACAAACTTGTAACTACATTGTACTGTTAATAACATAGCAAATTACGTCCACGGAAAACAAACGAATCGGCATCAAAAAAAGGTTTTAGAGTAAAAATACCTATAATAAAACTTAAAGAGAACAATATTTTGGAGGGAACCTCATCGGCGTTTTTAAAAATATTAACTATTAAAAAAGTTGTGGTTATTTAAAAAAATTAAAAAAAAGAGTTTTTGTGCCTTCAATATCTAGCTGTGTATTTAGATTAATACAAAACCCCGATGAGGTTCCCTCCGAAATATTGTTCTCTTTAAGTTTTATTATAGGTATTTTTACTCTAAAACCACTTTTTGATGCCGATTCGTTTGTTTTCCGTGGACGTAATTTGCTATGTTACGCGTTTGTAAGACGGAGACAACACATGCGTGTGTGGCGTCCTCTTAATTCAAGACTACTAAGTACTAACAAGTAAAAAGTGTGAAGTAAAAGTTAAAATGGGACGGTCTAATAAATATAAAGAAGCTGTTACTAAATATTTTAAGAAATCACTGACAAAAACAGGTAAATCAGAATACTTTGAATACACGTTTTGTTTAAATTATGTTTAATTTATGTCTATCTGATTCTAAGACGATTATTAAAAATCTATTATTTTATATTTACAAACAAAAAAAGGTTTTATTTTATTTTCTATTATTTTTTTTTTATACTAAACAGGAAACTAAAAGACTTAAGTGTTCAAGTTGTTACTATAACCTATAAAGTATTACTATTTACTATTGTTACTTTTTTTACATTAAACATTTATTTTAGTTATTATTTAGAAAAAAAAACCAAAAGAGTTATTTATGTTTATTAAAATTTTTAATTATTACTTTACTTGTTGACTTTGTTATTACTTTTGAATTTAATTTATATTATTATTAATTTATATTACTATTTTATTTGTATTAATAAGACTTAATTTTCAAATAGGAAATGGACAATGGTTCAGTAATCAATTTTAAATTGTATAATTGTATATTATATATTTAAATACAGGATTTTAAACCGTATAAAATGTGTATAATACGGTATAATACAAAAAATTATTATACCCTACTTAAATACAATAGTATTATACAAAGTTTAATAAACGTATAATACAAAAATAAAATAAAATACCGTATTTTAACAACACTAGGAAAAACACAAGCGTTTCCGGTCGCCGTCACCACCAACGAAACCCCATTCGACTCGAGCAAAACGTATATTATGTGAAAAAGCATGTAACTTACATATCACTCAAGTTACCGACACATATTATATATATTTTATCAGCGCATACTTACAACAGTCATATCACTTGTATAATATTTGTATTTTACCGTGTGTATACACACACATAGGCATATCACCTCCGCTATATATCATTGTATAAGTTATAATATCGGAAAATTAAGAACTATATTAACAATATCTCTCATTTCAATAGATAGGTACTTTATACGGTTTATTACAAAAATCTCGAAATAGGTACCTACACAATAATTAACGTTGCATCTGTAGTATTATAGTAACATCTTTATCAATAAAACATTTATAAATCTTCATGTTATTAGTCATTTTCCATACAGACTCATGCTACAATGAGCATATAGGTGGGAACGTACATTTATATATAATATATATATATATATATATATATATATATATACAATACCATTAGGCCAACCTATCATGAATAATATTACAGATACTTACTTATATTTTTAATCAATCATATATACATTGAAATATTGTATGAGATTACATTAGACTAAAATCATAGCTTATATATACATACATGGATTATAGGTATTTAAGAGAAAAAATAAATCTCTTACTGTTATTATTGTACTATTATTCGTCAAGTGCAGTGAGAATTAAGTAAAAAATATTATAAACGAGCCACCCCCTATTTCTACAGTTACATGAACATGTGAAACATAGTACGATATGCAAACCCGCATTAAATCATCACATACCGATATGTATTTTCGACATTACAAACACCTAAACATATTATATGGATTACATAAATATATAAAGAGCATATAAACATTCATATATACACCTCAATAAGTCGCCTACATATAGGCATACACATATTTACAT